GCATGTCCTAAAAATATCTAAAGTGACTCGCTTAACCTGAAAATGCTGACAGATTATTTATGGTGGTAAACAAGGAAATATCTGTGAAAAAGCAACAGCACTATTTCAATGTTTTATAAATTTATGTTATCTTGAGTATAAGCAAATCTCTTGAAAAATTGACATTAAACATTGGGATACTTAAAAAAATTAATGATTTTAAAATCATACAAAGAAGTGTAACCGATTTTATGATTTTAAATTAACAGTTGGAAGTGAGTATCATACAACATTGTCTTCAACCCTGCTACTTGTTGTTTTGTATGATAAGAGCAAAATAAAGAATATTATTGAAAGTAAGTTATCAAAGGAAGTTCTTTAAATTTAGAGGAAATATTCAGCTTAAGAGATGATGAAAGTATGGAACTTTCTATTTCTGGTGACCTTCATCATATCAGCCGTCTATTGTGGCTACGTTTACGAAACCAAAACATTCACAACTTTGCTCGATCATTTTAATTTTGTGGATGACCGGACATTTTCATTTCGTTATCTTGTAAACAACGCCTCGGTTTCAAATGACAAATCACCAATTTTATTCTATGCTGGAAATGAAGGGGACATTGAACTATTTGCTGAAAACACTGGCTTTATATGGAAAATCGCACCGAAACTTGGTGCTTTGATTGTTTTCGCTGAACATCGTTATTATGGAAAGTCGTTGCCCTTTGGAAATGAATCTTACAAAGATCCTCAACATCTTGGATATTTAACAAGCGAACAAGCTCTTGCAGATTATGCTGATTTATTAAAATTTTTAAATCCTGAAGAAGAACGTCCGGTCATTGCTTTTGGTGGAAGTTACGGAGGAATGCTCGCTGCTTGGTTTAGAATGAAGTATCCTCATCTTGTAACGGGAGCGCTAGCAAGGTAACTTTACATTTCCAATTTAGTTCAGAAATTAATTTTACATTTTATTTCATTAAAGTTCTGCGCCTGTTCTTCAATTTCCTGGAGTCGTTCCTTGTGATATTTTCAATAGAATTCTTACGTCTGTCTTTAAAGTAGCATTAGATCGTAATCCTGATGGAACACCTCAAAGCATCTGTATTGATAATATAAAGAAGTCGTGGACAGTTTTACAGTGAGTAGCATAAAATAAATCGAAAGTTTAATTTAATCATTTGCTTCTCGCATCTTCCAGAAATTATTCATCAAATGACGAAGGTCGGAAGTTTCTTAACCAAAAGTTCAAATTTTGTACTGCAATGAACAAAACAGAAGATTGGAATACCTTTTATGATTATCTTCAAGATGTTTTGGGGAATTTAGCGATGGCAAATTATCCTTATCCAGCTAATTTCCTTGCAGATCTTCCAGCTTATCCAGTTCGTGAATTTTGTGGTCAACTTAACAAAGAATTTCCAAAGAATGAAGAGTTGATTAATGCTTTCAATGAAGCTCTTCAAATTTACACAAATTATACACAAAAATTAACGTGTCTCGACATTTCATCTGCTTATGCATCAAATCTTGGATCGAAAGGTTGGGATTTTCAAGCTTGTACAGAAATGGTCATGCCTACATGTGCTAATGGAACGACTGATATGTTTATACCGAAAAAATGGGATTTCAAAGAATATTCTGATAACTGCATGAAGAAATTCAAAGTTATTCCGAGAGAAATGGCAGCGATGACTCAATATGGAGGCAAACGCATGGATACAGCTTCAAATATTATTTTTTCGAATGGTCTTTTAGATCCATGGTCTGGTGGTGGTGTCTTGCGTTCATTCAACGAAAAAGTTGATGTCATCATAATACCCGAAGGTGCTCATCACATTGACTTGAGAGCTGACAACAAATTAGATCCAGCAAGTGTCAAGGAATCAAGAAAGTTTTACTTGGAAAAGTTCAAGACATGGATCAATGAATTTCAAACAAAAATGTAATACTCAATCGAACAAACATTTATATACCTTTTGTAATCATGTTTAATAATCTAAATATTTTTCAATCCATAAATTGGACATTGTTTAATAAAGTCATCTAATTTCACTTTAAATAAATCGGATGCTATTGGAGTTCCTGGCGTCCATAAAGGATTTCTTATAACATATTCGACAAATATCTTTGCGTAGAGTTGTTGAAGAATTTCTTTAACTCCTGTGGATGATGTGTCGGTGTTGAGAACAAATTTCAGACCCGAAGGTGTTTCAAAGTAGTGGAGAGCGTATTTATTTGTTTTATAAAATAGAAATCCTTCTCGAGGATCTATTGGTGATATTTTACTGACGAATGATTTGATTGAAAATAGTGAACCATACATAAGTTTAGCTTCCTAAAAATAGAGTTAGTTTAAGATTTTATCAAAAATAAATTCAACGTCATTTTCACCTCGTCTTTAGTAATCCCTGATTGCTTTACACGATTCCATTCAGCGTAATAAAGAAGTGTTCCATGTTTGTCGAATATGTATAAGTTATATATCGTCATTATAATACCACAAACTATATAATTAGTGAATTTTGGAATGATTTTCTTTTTTCTGTTTTTATCAATGTTTACATTCCCAAACCTTCGATATTACGACATTCAACGTTTCAAATAAAAACCGTTATTATTTGAGAATTTCTTACTACAAAGTTAAGAATTTATTATTGACAAAAACCTTCTTATAAAATAAATGATAGAAATTAAATTATTCGAGTGATATATTTGTGAACATTAAATAAAGTTGAAATGTTTGTTTATTTATTGCGCTTTGAAACACGCCCAGCTTTGATTGGAGTCTCCTTCTTATCTTTTCTTGGTGTTGACCTCTTTTTCCCTTTCTTCGTCTTCTTGCCGAGGTCTTCCCAAGAAAAAGCATCCTCGTCATCTTCATCTCCATATTTCTCTGCTAATTTATCAAGGAAAGATCCAAAGTTTCTGGAACGATCTTCCTTTCGTAACATGATTTGCTTAGCAAGATCATCTTCATTATCTTCCATCATTTTCTTCTTAAGTTTTTCAGCTTCCTTCGACTCTCGAGCATACTTTTTATGTCGACGATCAGTTTTCGATTTCGGTTCTTTTGTGAATGCTTTGAATTCGGGAACTTCTTCGTTTTTAATCCATTCATTGACAATCTCATGGAATCTCGGCTCGTCTTCAATCCCCATGAATGGAACATGCTCCATCATGTAATTAATACATCCTTTACCATTGACGTAAGCTTTTTTCAAATCAGACTTTTCTAATTCAGATCCTAGATGTAAAATGTGGAGGTAAATTGCATTGAATTTAATTTTGTTCAAAAAAATTACTCACCGACGTATTCTTTACGATAATTATCAATATCCGATTCACTGATGGGTTTGAAAATATTCTTGAAAGCTTCTAACCATGTAGACCCAAACTTTTCATCATCATCATCGTCAACAATGCCTTGTTCGTCGTATAACTTTCGACGATTATCATCCGAAAGGACTTCGTTAATCTTTGCAAGGACTTTGAACTTTTCTGTAGCATTTTCTTTTTCTGACTCAGGAACGCGATCAGGATGAACTTTAAGAGCATGTTTGTAATAGGCCTTTTTAACTAAAATAAAAATTTTAGAAAGTTGAAAGTTTTAAACAACATTTGATGCTTACTTTCTGCGACTGTTGCTGTTTTATCAATTTCAAATATAGCGTACAAATCTTTTGAAGCGAAAAAGTTTTCGCATGATTCAAGTGTCGATGGCATTTTTAAATAATGTTTTAATACTCCAAATTTTAAAATGAATTCTATTCAATGACAACTTTTTATTTTTATTCCGGCGCCAAACATCAACAATGACAGACAAATTAACGAGGTTGTGTATAGATAGGGCGAATGATGCTGTTCAAAATTAATGATTTTGCAGTTTAAATTTATAGGGTTAGTGGTGCAAAAAATTTGGTGTTTTGATTTAATAATTTTTATTTTTATTTTATTCAAAACTACATATTCATAACTCAAAACAAGTTCCTAATTAAGATGTAATCTCAAATGCAAATGACTAGTGCCTTATTTAAAACACTTGCAACTGAAAAAGCTTCTGAATGATGAATAAAGTACAAGCGCTAAAGACAAGATTTGAAAAATTAAATTCTGAAGTTGTAGAGTCTTTAGATATAACACCGATTAGCGTAAGACGTGAACCAGCAATTAAATTCACTCGTTCAGCTACTTGTATTGACTTCAGAAATTTTAAAGTGGAAGAAAATTCAAAGCAATCCACCAAAACAATTCAACCAAAATTCCAGTTCCAGCGTCAATCGAGTAACTCGAGTAATTCATCAAATAAAAGCATAAGAAGATCGCCAGCGTTTCGATTCGATGCTCAAGCGCGACCAAGTGTTGTTAAGTCTTTGACAAAAGAAGATTCAGTGAAGAAGAAAATTGAATGCGAAGAGTTGGAATATTTAAGCACGTCAGCAACGATTAAGAAAGCTTTGCTCAAGCCATTACCCACTGGATCACCACCTAAGAAACCACCAAGAGTGTTTCAACTGACGGCACTTGAAAGGAAGAAAGATATTGTAAAAATCAGCCCGAATACAATTCCAAAGAAAACTTCAAAGAACGAAGAAAAGAAAGCAATTAGCAGTTTCCTCAGTTGCATCGTTTCACCTTGCACAATCGATCCAATCTATTACGAACAAATTAAAAAAGAACAGAAAGAAGAAACAATCTATATGGAACCTTACGCTCATTTAAAACAAGATTTTAGTCCTAATAATGGAACACAAGCAAAAGCGCCCGAAGAACTTCATTACATGTGTACAGTTTTAGATTCCAGTTCATCTGATATGAATGGAAATGATACAAAAGAAGAACAAAGAAGAAGACGATCATTGGAATCATCGGATATTGAAGATTATGAAAAGGTAGAAAAAATTGTCATTTTATCAAGTTTTTAGTTCATTGACGTTTAACATAATTTTCCTTTTAAGATAAATCTTCTCTTCAACGTTGTGTACGATGAGAAACATCGTGATAACATTATTGATGAAACATCACATTCATCGAATGAGTCAACTAAGAGTCCAACACATCGTGGAGTTTCACGAACATTGACCGAGAAACGAAAAAATTATGTTCGTCGAATGACTCAAATTTCGATAAATGCGAATGTTAATGATAAAATTCCCATGACTTATGGAAGTTTAAAGCAACTACCATCAGCAGCATCTAAAATATCGCAATTTCAAAGTATTATCGACTCTAATAAAGTGAAAGAATCAAAAAGTGATGAACGTAGTAAGATGAACGATAAACTCTTCGATATGGCGTTGTTAGTTGGTTTTGATGTCACTAAAATGAGTGCTTATATAAAAACAGTTTTTCCAAGGGCTGCAAAACCCCCACCGATGATAGAACAATTCATTTATCCAACTGACAAAACGCCGTCAGATTTAATGACAAAAGATAATCAAAACTTTTCACTCATCTTAACTAATGAATATGGTGAACATTTGTATGGATATTGTCGACAAGTTGTGCCTGAAGGCTTTGAGATTTGCTTACCATTGACGTATTGTATTATCAGCAGTGTAAAAGCGACAGGATTTTACTTTAATGTATTGAAAGAAATTGAAGCGCGACACGGTCAACCCGACACGCAATTCACTTTTCTCCTTCGTCAACTTCAGAATCAAACAATTCCAAAGAGTGGAAAATATCTTCATACAAAACTGATGGAATCGCCAATGGCTAAAAAGCTTCCAGAGATTCCAAAGAAACCTGATCGCGAAACAATTCAAAAGTCACAAACACGATTCAACAAGCGATTAAGTTTGGAATCCCCCGAGTGGTTGAAAATGGAAAATTCTTCAGAAATATCGAAGAATTCCATTGATCTTGGTTTAATTAATCGCAGCTTACTCGATGGAGGAAAACGAATTGATGAGATTTTGATAAGACGACCAAATGATCTTCGATTGGAAAATCGTGAGTTGAGCGTTCTCTATGAAAGCACCACAAGTGAGTTGCTTGTTGTTATTTTTGGGTCACTTTTAATTGAAAGAAAAGTAATTTTGATTGGGAGAAATCTTTCGAAAGTTTCATCATGTGTCATGGCGTTGTATTCGATTCTTTATCCGTTCCAGGTAATGACAAATTGAACAATTTTGAGATTTAATTTCTAATTTTTATTTATTTATCAGTGGCAACACACAATCATCACAATCACTCCTGATAATCTCAGTGAATTAATTCAAGCTCCCTTCCCAGTGCTCGCTGGTATACTCAAAGATTCTGTAAATGTAACTTCGCTTGATATCGAAGATGGAATTGTAGTAGATCTGGAAACGAAATCATTGCTTAGAAAATGTGGCGATGATACAACACTCGTACCTGAAACTTTGAAGAAGTCTTTGATGTTGTCGCTGAAAATTGTTGATGCCTTAGATCGCGGAAAAAATTTGTCAAACGTTCTCATCGCAGAAGCTTTTCTTCAATTCTTTGTTAAAATCTTTTCGAATTTGAGTACAAAAAATTATATCAAAGAAACTTTTATCGAGTCCCACAGCGATCAAGCAGTGAAATTCTTCCTTGATTGGTTTTTAGAGACAATAATGTTTAAGGAATTTTTTCGAAAAAAAACTGAACATGATAAACAGAGAGATGAAGGCGCGACAGCATCAAATTACTTTGATCTTTTTAACACAAAAGTTCTCGAGAAGTCAGCGACAATCAGCAATCAACAACAAAGAAAAAATGTTGAACTTCTTATGAAAAACTCACGACAATTAAACAAGAGACGAAATTTTAAGGATAGAATTAAAGATTTTCTAACCAGCAGCTAATTTCGAATGAATTTGCCAGAACGATATTTCATAACATTTCCATTAACATTTAAATAACTTTTCTTCCTCTCTATCATCAATGAAGAAACGTGAAATTTCCCTCCGTCCCTGTGCAAATAAAAATGAATTAAGACTCTTTCGACTGTTGACTTGAATTAGATAGATATTATAAAAAGAAACATTAATAATCATTTGATTTTAAATAGTATTCGTAGATATTTTAATAAACATTTCATTTTTTCTTCTTTTGTGCCTTGGCTTTGATATGAGAATCAAAAAATAAAATTAGAAAATTTATTATTCAAAGTTTATTAGGTATTTTAATGAATTTTTAGATCAAATTTGTAAAAGCAAAACTTTAGTTTCAAGGAAAATTTTCTTTCAAAAGTTTTGCTTGTAGAAATTTAACTTCATGATTTGGCGAATATCCGTGGAAATGGGAAAAATCTTTAAATCAGTTTTCACAATACATTCTATTAATCTTCGCTAAATCTCCTTCACTTAAACGTCTTCTTTGTCCCATCAAATTGTTCATTTTTTCGTCATCTAAAGCTTCAATTGTCCTTTCTTCGTTTTTAGAGAAAGCATAGGGCGAGTAATGAAGAACGCTGCTGTAATCATAGCCAATTCCATAGCTTGAGATGTCATCAATTGAAAACTTTTGGAAGTTAATGAAGGCGCCATTTTTTATATTCTCTTCGTGAACTTTAATGAAGTCGTCACGATCTGAACGATTTTGTTCGTGAAAGAATCCGACAGCGTGTAATGTTTCATGCATTACGGTTCCAATTCTACCTGTGCAGCCTGGCGATTGAAGGTTGACGATTTGTTTTCCAATGACTTTCCCAACTGAACTCCAACAACCTGTTGGGCTGTTGTTGTAAGAAATGTAAGATTTTTCATCAGTTCTTTTAACAAACTTTAAACAAGTTTTTTTCATGAAGATGTCGAGCGCATCTTTGATCATCTTTTTATCTTTCTCAGCTGTTTTAAGAGGAAATCAATTAAACAGTTGAATGTCAATTTATTTATAATTTCAACTTACTTAAACCAGCTCCAATTTCATAAGGAATGATGCCATCTTCCCACATCTGAGACTTCAAAATGACGCCATTACGTGCTTCTGAACCAAGAATAATGTCGCCTTCGTAATAATTTCCTTGTTCTTCAGGATTTCCGAGATTTTTCTTTGAACTCCACTTCTTCAATGATCTGCCTGCAGACTCGTCAGGAGTTTTTGAAATTAATGGTGACAACTTCAAAATAACTTTAGGGCTTTCAGAAGGAAAATTTTCAGCGATTTTAATGATTGACATTAAAATGAAAAGTTTCACGATCTTATTTTCCATGTTTTCCAATTGCTGTCAAGGAATCAACTGTCACTTTGAAAGTTTTCCACTTTCTTTTATAGGTAGAAAGTCAACCTCCTTATTACTGTCTTGCACTTTACTTTATTACTTTGTCAGCAAACATTTGATACCAGAAACGCACCAAGTAATAAATTTAATAAATTTACATTATTTTACTTATTCCAAATTTCAAATTAAAACAGATTTATGGCATCTTTTAAACGACATTGCATCGTAGTTAAAGAAGGCAAATGAACTTAAAATGTAATAAAATTAATTAATTGGAAATATTCTTTAAGATATTTATGCAGATTGCCTTCATTAAAAAATTATTTAATTGGTATCATAACAATCATAAAACTATTATTCGAAATGATCCACCTCAGGACATAAGAATTTTATTACAAAATTTACGATGATGATAAAACAAGAATGAAGTAAGAAAAGCTTTTAACCAGTGGATTAAAATATCAACAATTAGATTTGTAAAAAAATTTATTTCATCTAAAATCCAAATTTTCAAACAAATTCTTAATTTATCAAAAATTATTTCAGTTGATTCTCTTTCGTTCCATTCTCTTTTTCATTCTCATCTTCGGTATCCTTGTTAGGGCGAAAAGGTCTTCGAAAGGGACGAAATGGACGACGTTGTGGGGCCATGAAAGGATCTGGGCCAAATCCATATTCAGGATAAATTGGGGGGTATCCTGGATAACCTGGTGGCGGAGGTCCTTGAGGGTAACCTGGCGGTGGAGGTCCCTGCGGATAACCTGGCGGTGGAGGTCCTTGAGGGTAACCTGGCGGTGGGGGTCCTTGTGGGTAACCTGGTGGTGGAGGTCCTTGAGGGTAACCTGGTGGTGGAGGGCCTTGGGGATAACCTGACGGTGGAGGTCCTTGTGGATAACCTGGTGGTGGAGGGCCTTGGGGATAACCTGGTGGTGGAGGTCCTTGGGGATAACCTGGTGGTGGGGGATATTGTGCTCCAGGGTAACCTCCTTCTTCAGGTCCATAAGGATATTCTAAATCAGGATTTGGATAGAAAGGTTCAGGATTTCCATCAGGTTGTTTAGGCCCTTGACTTCCAGTAGATGGAACAGTTTGACCTTCACAATATCTTGCATTGATTCTTGCTATGTCACTTTGAGAAAATCCTTGCCTTTGTCCCATCTCAACACCCGATGTTGGTGTCTAAAAATTCAAACTTTTAATCAAAATTTATTTCAGACCAAAAAACATAATTCAAAGTCAATGAAAATTTATTGAAATTTTGCACACGAAAAACCAAAAGAAAAGTCATCAAATTAAGTCATTAGAGTCAATTAAGTCCATTGGTGTGTCAGCATTAATTTCGTTTTTCCTTCTCCCACCAAGTGCAGTGAAAACATTTCCAACAGCGCTCACAAGTTGTGCTAAAGGATTTGTGAATCCACCCGAACTTGCAGGTCGAGTAGGTTTTTGTACAGTTGGGGCAGGGTAACCTGGCATAACACCCTGATTCGGCATATCACCGCATTTGTACATCGCATTTATTCTCGCAAGATCACTTGAAGAAAATCCTTCACGTTGTCCCATCATATAATCATTGCCAGTCTGGAAGTTTTAAGTATTCAAGAAAAGAAAGAAAAATTCAACACAAAAATGTAAAACATTCAAAACACTGACACAAAGCACATAACAATAAATTAAAATTAATTGATTAGTTTATTATTTCACATGAATTACTTGTTGCAATACATTTTGTTAATTTTTGCAATGTCATTTTCGCTGAAGTTAGTTCGTTGACCCATTTTTACCGTTTGATCTTCACCCTTTATGATTATTTTTATGTTATAAGAATTAAATAAAATTGAAAGCTTGTGAGAGATTGCAAACTCACCTTTGATACGATTGTCTTTTGTCCATTCCTTGAAAAAGCTGTTGAAGAATAATGCATGACCGAACCTTGATCATATGAGACTCCATAGCTTGTTGTACTACCAGCTGACGCTTTCTCAAAGTTTGTTAATGTTTCTAAGTTATCACAAAAAATTTTCATTGATTTATTAAAATAGAAAGTGCTGAAAATGAGTTATCAAAATAAATTTTACCAGGCTTAATATTATTGCGCATAATTGTAACGTAACGATCACGATCTTCACGGTTTTGTTCATGAAGGAATCCAAGCGCGTGCATTAGTTCGTGAATAGGTGTTCCAAGTTTTGATAAACAACCGTTTTGTTGTAAGTTAACTGATTGCTTCCTACCAATTTTCCCAACACTACTCCAGCATCCCGTATTGCTACTTTCGATTGAAAGATAATCAGTTTGGCTTGTTCTTGGAACAAATTTAATGCAAGTCTTTGCGTGATATTCGTCAATGGCTCTCATGATCATATTTCTTCCAGCACTTCCTTCAATGAAACTTGAATAGTATTTGACTTAAAATCGTTGAAGTGAAGCTTACCAACGTTGGCTGAGATAACATAAGGAACAACTCCATTTGGCCATTTTGAAGATCTTTGCACTAATCCATTTCTAGCTTCAACACCAGGAACCAAAATATCACCTTCAACATAGGTTCCCAACTCTTCAGGATTCTGTGAGTCTTCAGGTTTCCAATCATTGCCCACTTTTCCAACCGACTCATCAGGATCACTAAACAGCATCGATCCAAGTTGGGATAAATCAATTACGTCACTCATTTCATCATCAACTACATTTAAGTCAAGAGGAAAGGCGTCACATGTCATGAGGCATGCGACAATAATAAAACAAAAATAATTCATTAGAACAGCTTGAAAGTTTATAAAAGTTCTCAATTGAAAAGTACAAAGTTTGAAATTAAACTGAAAGAAGTTTTGCTATTTGCTTTCTTTTATATGAAAAATACTTTGTCGTAAAATTTTAATTTGCAATTCGTGATAAGGCAATTAGTGAATTCCTTTTTTTCTAGTTTTTTCAGGGTTGGTTCTAAAGAAAATTTATAAAAATTTTCCACAGAAGTTAATCGTAAATTATTTATACAACTTTGACTTTAATTCATTCATAAATGTCCAAATAAGTAGTTTGATTGTAAATCTATCCAAATAGAAACCGACAAAAATGTTATTGAGTACAAAGCATTAACTGGCGTTACTTTTCATTGCTGTAATTGATAAGAGAAAATTAAAATTCGGCCTTGTTTTGACACTTTTTTGATAGATCAGCATAATTACGGAAATCTAGGCTGAAACATCTGACAGTTTAATAGTTGCTGTCGGGAAGATTAGTGAAAGTATTTCACTGTCAAGTTTTACGTTGAACGAACTCAAACCAATACAACTTTTATAAGTTTGCCCTCCTATTAAATGTTGTAATAAAGTGATTAGGAAGTTCAACTTTTAGTATATGAAAATAAGGAAGACATAAGTAGATATTTATGCAGTGGTTAAAATTAAAGTCTTTCACTTTGCAGACTTACAAGATTTTTTATTCCATTTGATATTTATTTCCTGTCATTTTATGATTTTAATTGACTTAATTAGCAAATAAAAACAACACTACAAGCAAATAATTTTTAACAGTTTCTATGAAATAATTTATTACATCTTTAATTACAATTTTATGTCATTTCTTAAGATTAATTAAATTTTGTAGCAAAATGAAATATTTTTCAACTCGATTTGAATTATCGATTTCTTATAATGTTTAACATTTTCTGCTATCAAATTAAATAAACATTAGATAATACCTTGGTAGTTTAAGCTCGTTAAGTTTGTAGAGAAACAAAAGTTTTAAAACTTTCCCGTCATTTTTTCTCTCGTTGATAATTTGAGTCTCTGATTCTGATGATAAATTTGATTGTAGTTTGACACAATGACGGGGATCGAAAGAACAATTGCTAGAATTCCACTCAACCAGCCAGCAATTCCAATAGCATGACCTATAAATGTTTCGGGTGCAGCATTGCCTGAGCTTTGATTCGTTATTGAAGCCTAATAAGGAACTCGTTAATTAATTTACAATTATCTATGAAATTCATTGTAAAATCTTACAATAACAAACCAAAATGCAGCTGGAATTGAAGTGAATGCGGTTCCAGGGACATTTCTCTCAGCGTAATACAAAATTGTAGCATAAATTATGATCCCCATTGAAAGTGAGAAGAAAATGAATTTTAATTCCGAGGCTGATGCTTTGAGTGTGTGCTCAATGATCTTCAAACCTTGCAAGTGAGATGTAAGTTTAAGTACGTGAAAAACTCGGAAAACTCTCAATGTAAGGAAAGCTGAAGTCACATTGTGGCCCATATGCAAAAATAATTCGATGTAGAAAGGCAAAATAGCAACAATATCAATTATTGTTTCAAAGCTTTTAAGAAACTTCAATCGCTTTGGCGCAGTGTAGAGTCGAACAAAAAACTCGGCAGTGAATATTGTCACACAGATTGATTCAATGATGAAAAATATCGAATGATACTTGTCTCCACATGATTTTTCAGTGCCGCATGACACTGAAATACACAATGTTAAATGATTTATTTAGAGTTAAAGTTTATCAACCTACTTGTTTCCATAACGCTAGCTTCTCATGCAATTATAGATAAAAAAGATATAGAAAGTAAAATCATTTTCCAATTTAAGTCAAGATAGATAAAATTTTTACCAAATTATCTACTCACCGATTACAGAAATTGCGATAAATAAACAAGTGATGTAATCTATTCAAAATATATAGTAAAAAATAAAAATTTGGTTGTTACGGAATGAAAATAATTAATAAAACTTAAAATTACTACTTAGTTAGTAAGTTTGAAGTCAAAAATGTTTCATTTTCATTTGTTTCATAATCCCTTTCGTTTCGTTTCCGTTTGTTCCCTTTCAATGATTATCAATGATGATCGATGATCAAAAATTCGCGACAAGCAAAACATTTTTAACTTAGAAATGAGTGATCTTTGTGATGATAATTTTAAATCATTAAATCAATCTTACTTACAGCAAGCTAATGCCTTTTTTGACACATACGGATTTTCCAATGCATTCCAAATTTTTTGACGTAGAGTCAAAGTTTGATCACCAGGGTCGTCTGCTTTATGTCGTTTTGCTCTTTCTTTGCAGTTTTCCTTTCTATGATTAAATTCATCAAAGCAGCAATCGCTCATGAACTCGGCTGGAATTCCAAAGAAGATTAACTCTTCATCAAAGCTTAAAAATGAATAATTAAAAACATGGAACGTTGATGACAATTTTCATATTTCATTACCTAAGATCACACTCATGAGTTGGATAATGAAGACTTCCTGTATGGTAATAGTGCAAGATGTGTCTGAATGTGTCGGGATCTCTTTCAAAAAAGTATTCATCATTTTCAGGGTCATAATTTGTTTCTCGTTGTGGTGAACCTAAAAGTGTTGCTGGATGTTTGTCTAAGGTTTCGCGCCATATCTCAAATCGTCGTCCAGAAATGTTAATTCTCACTTTATGTTTATTCTGTGTGGAACTAGCTGTGTATGAATACAATCTTATGTGATCAAGTGATTAGAAATAAAAATAGGTACAAAGTATCTACATACAACTCTCGTCATGTCTTTTAATTAATGGAATGTTATCACCAACTTTCCTAGAATTCAAATGAAGACAGTAAAAGGTAAAATAATTACAGACATCAATTCAATTTTGTTAGATTATTGAATTAGATTGTGATAAGACAGGAACATGACATGAATCAACTTACTCAACATCACCATTCTCAACATTGACAATCTGAATGACATTAGGAAAATAAATGAAAATCAAATATTAAGCAAAATAAGAAAATATTTAATTTGTATCTTTAATGTGAAAAACTTGTTTCTTACAAAGCAGAAGCTACCTGACTATCTTATCTATAAATCAATTAAATATTTCAATAATCTTACCTGCTCTTCTGTCATTTTTAATTTACAACTAATTGAATTTCAATCGTTCTTATCTGTGCGCTTCACAAAATAAAACTAACAGAATGAAAACAAAATTCGCTGACTTGCTTCTGCTTTTAATTCTCTTATCTGAGAAACAGAATGAGAGAAGCCAAGTTAGAAATAAATTTGAGAGAGTTCATTGTTTAGTTCATTGTGTTCCGCGTGTTTGATATTTGATTTCGAGCGTGATGTGTAAATATTTAAAAAGATATTTCGATGTATTACGCAATGTAACTCTACACATTTGTACAATGTATCAACATCTAGCTGCATGATCAGTTGATGATTCAGATATAAATAAACTGATCACTCCTACACAATCAGCTGAAACATTTCAAATTTCAAAACATAATTTATTATTCCATTTAATTAATTTTATTTCTTTGTTTCATTTTTCTTTTAATTTAAAAAGGGTTCCAATAATACAGAAATTTTCTTTATCTAAATAATCATTTTGATCGCTTTTAACGGCGCAAATTCTTCTTCATTCGCTTAATTATCTATTGCATATAATTGTTATTTAGCATTAGATCATAAAACTGATTATTATAAATATATTTATTTGATTGTTGAATTATTTATTTACAAAGTTCTTTAATTTTTTTTTCTTTTTGAAACTTTTTTCTTAAGGAAGCTAACGAAGAAATTTTCGTTTTTGTTATCAACTAGACTTCATATTTTTACGTAGTCAACATTTTTTTTTGGTAATTTTCCACAAGTTTTTATTTATTTAATTTAAATTTTAGTGACGTCGAATTAAAACATTTAATTTATTGCGAAACAAAATATATTGGGAAGAAATTAAAAAAGCTTTTGGAGATCATTCTTTAAAATTGTGAAAAATAAAAGCTTCAGTTGAGCTTTGAAAGGAAAAGCTTCGAAAATTGACGTCACGAAATTTGAATAAACGAAGTGATTTTAATCACCAACATTTCAAATAATTAATTTACCACTAAGAATATTTAAAAAGCATTTCGTCATGTCAAACACACAACGAATATTAAAAATTATAATCAGTAAGAAATAGAAGTCAAACAGTTTTAAAATTATTAAAAAAAAAGAAATTAAAAAGTTCTTATCAATTATCACAAAAATATGTTTTTGTTTTTTTTTTCTTTCATCAAAATGTATTTCACTTCACGGGTTGATCGCATTTTAAATTTGCAGTTTATTTATGTACATGCATCCAACGACTCTAAAGCACGAAGGAAGAAATCTTACAAATGAGAAGAAGCAAGTGTCAAACGACTTTTCTTAATTCTCTTTCAATAGATTTTATTTAAGGCACATGATAAACTTTTATTCTGAACATTCGGCAGCTTTAATCATCGTCTTTCTTATCTGACTTCAAATCTACCATCTTATGAACTTCTTCAGGTGAAAGTCTAGAAAGAAGAAAATAAATAAATTAATTAATCATTCCAAAAGTCGCAATTTCATTAAATTAACTTACCCAAGCAGCGCCTGAAGATCACAAACAAATCGATAGACATATCGCTTTCCAGCTGTTTTATGAATAATATTCTTGTCATAATAATAACGTAGGCCACGGCTAAGCTTCTCATAATTCATTTTTGGTTTATTTTTACGGATTCCCCAACGTCTTGCGACCTTATTTGAAAGAATAAACAAATAAATATTTAAGAAATTTGACATAAAAAAGCTTCTTACCTCATCAGGATCTGTCAATTTAAATTCCCATCCATCACCAGTCCAAGAAATGAAGCTTTGACAATTTTTATCGGTCAGAAGTTCTAAAAGAAATTGCCACAGTTGAATTGGACCAGAACCAGTGAAGCATGGCTGACCATTCGCTGAAAGACCACCAGGCAAAAGTGTTCCACACAACGCTCCATTGTTGTTATTATTCTGAATCATGTTGTAATTATTCAAAATTTGTTTATCCAAACTCAGTGGATTCATGAAATTCTGCTGGTGATGATGTCCATGATGTGAATGCGAAAGTGTTGAGTGATGGTGGACAGGATGAAAGTCAGGATGATGTGGATGATGTGGCGATATATTCCACTCACTCGAACTCGACTGTTGATTATTATTTGAAGTTGACACAGTTGCAGCGCTTGCTGGCACTTGTTGGAACTGTTGGCCAGTCTCATAAGATGAAAATTCATTGTAATTATCACCAGATCCACTTCCATAACGTGGAACTCTTGAGTAGATTCCATTATTTGCTGAACTTTTATAGGGCGCGGGTGGCATATATTTGGATTCACTCATTCCGGCATAGAACTCGGGTGAGCTTTCAAGATAAGGTGATGATTGTTGAAGTGATTGGTAGTCTTGTTGTGGGTCATCATACACATTTGGTGTTGGCGGATGATGAGTAATTCCGTAATTCTAAATGAAACAAATTTACAAAATTGTAAAGAAATTTCTTAAAGAAAGAAGAAATTGAAAAACTCACCGATAAATCACTTAAATTAGGATAATTGTTTGTGGAGTTATTCCCACTGCTGCTGCTATTCTCTTCTTTCAACATTGGATAAATACTAGTCTGATTAGCGTTCGTCCCACTCGTCGCATTATTTCCGTTCCTGAGTGAGTTCATTTGCAAGTAGGACATTTGAGTTGTGCCGGACGGTGGTGTTGAGTTATCATTGCGGTCATGTAATGTTGTATAGCCTGTAAAAGAGAGTAACAGGAAGGAAAGGGTCAATCAATGAACAGTTTTTCATCATAACGGATGCAACCGGTACGGTGCGGAGAAAAATGTCCAAAGCATCATAAAAAGCCATTCTATTCGACTTCATCTAATTGATGCGCAGGCACACGAGCAATTGAAATCTATTGGAGAAGTGACTTCAATTAATGTCTGGTGGATGTTTAAATCATAATTTATTGCTCTTGATCGACGATGGCACATCGTACACAAGAAAATTGGAAGAGAAAACTGTCTTTGGCGATGATGTTTTATGATTGGTATTTAATGTATTTCCGTTTCCGATATTAATTTAATGTGTTTTTCTTTCTTTCTTTCTATCTTAGGACGTTTATTCATTGATCGTTGTCTTTCTAAACGATGAATGAATTGATAATGTAATGGCATAAATATGGAGGCGATTGAAGTATAATGTTGATCATTTATTTATGAAATAAAATTTATGGAGAAGTCAAAATGGTTTTGATTTTAAAAATTAAAGACTAGGAATTTCAATTCATCGAAATTTTCTCAATTTACTTCATTTTTTTTTCTCGAAATTATTCAAAATAAAATTCCTCTGAATCTTTCATCAAAACTCTTCAAACAATCAAACTGTGCTTTGACTATAAATCTTTTTACAAATTGCATAACAAGTCGATTTCATTAACAATTCCCCGATTGATTTATTGCTGTATTGTTTGCGGGAGATTCATTCATAAATTTGCGAGAATTTGCTGAACTTGAGAAATAGATTCTGATGACGTCAGAAAAACCAAACAAATTTTCTGATTTCCCCGCTTGATTTTCTTAGTCATTCATAAAAGAAATATAAAATAAAATTGGAGATTGATGAATTAAATATGTGCGAGTTTCTTTGACGGCCTCTCACGGTTTACTTTAATAATTTTGTGCGACACGTCAATGAGTTCTCCAATCTTTCATTCATTCATAAAAGATTAAGTCGCGGAAAATTTCAAAGACAAATCCAAGAAACAAGCAAAAGAACCAACTAAAAGACTTCAAGTCAACACTTACTAAAAGTTCTCAAATATTTAATAAAAAAATATGTTTAGAGATTGTAATCAGAGCTTTGTGACTCGTTTTTCTTTTTGGACATCAAACAAATTAAAAAACAATTAAAAACTCGCGAGCGTGTGAGTGTGTTGATCAAATATTTGAGATTGTGCAAACAATAGAACTGATCGCGCGGCATGTGACAGAACAAAAAAAAAGATCAAAACACAACACTTTGAAAGTAAATACAAGCAGAGAATGAAATAAAATAGAATTTCAAAGTGATATCGACGAAGTTTGAGTACATATTTGACCTTTATGGTTAATTAAAATCGAATAGATTAAAATGGCGTCGAAGACTTGTGAGAATTTTTAAATAAAATTTAAACTTTTTCCACTGAATTATTTTTTTGATATCGAAAAATGTTCTTTTATTGGAAAAAGCTTTTACCACGTTCAGAAAATAATTTTCAAGAGAAGAAGAGAGAGAGAGAGGGAAAGTGAGAAAAGACTAGCCAAGAGTGAGAAAGAACGAGAAATAATTCTCGCGCATAGCGCATCAACCAATATATTCCAAGTGCCTATCAGTTTCTCCGACCAATCAACCGATGCACGATGGCCACGCCTCAATAATTCTCTTTTTTGATATTTAATTAAAGCTTTCCTTCTAACGCGAAAGTTTTTACATAATTTTCGGTGCTCATTGAGCCGTGAATTGTCTCGCATGTTGCTTTAATTAATCATCAAGACATGAAAATTCATTTTCAACTCGATTTTTTGCAGTATTTTGCAAGTCGTTTCATCAACAACGCTCGATTACATCTACGACTACCAGGTAAAAATATGAAGCAATTAATTTCAATTAAAGTTACTTCTTACTCGTCATAAATAGAAAGAAATTCCGAAGATTCTCGACATCGATGAAAAACTTTCAACCGTTAACGTAATTATCACTAAAAAATATTGAATTTTCAATTTATCGAATGGAAGTTTCCGTTCTCCGACAAAGCTCGTTGGATTGCGTAATGAAAATTGATGGATAATTTGATTATGGATTAAAAGCGAGAATTCAGGTTTCGATAGCTTTCTTAAGTTTCCAGATAGTTACTTAAATATTTCGAATGATTGCTGGCCTCAAAAACAATTAATCGTACATTGAATTTATTGAAAATTTGCACATTAGATCTGTTTGCTTGAAAGATTTTAATGGATTGAACGTGATGATCATTTACTCGCGAATTTAACTCACATATGTACAAAGTGAGTCTTTTAGCCAAATTTATCTTCTTTTACTTCAACTACATGAAAAACTTTTTCATGTGCCATCTGTGACTGACTAACTTTGAATGAAGTCAACACAAGAAGAAAACTGGGAATGATATCGATCTTTTACTCGAAGGGTCATCAGCATTTCAGAAGATGTAGACAGAAAGTTAAAATCGAACAGGTTGAAAGTGGAAGACTTTTAACGTCTTTTTAATTATTCGACATGATGCTCGCGTTACTCATCCGACTTGTGTTTGTATTTTTATTTGTCGATGCTTATTTACATCAGCTGACGATCACATATTGTAAGTGTTAAGACGAGATGATTAATAACCTTCATTCGGGTCATTACGTTGTCGTTAAAAGCATAAATGAGAATTAAAAATGAAAATGTTTCAAGGCTTTGAAGATTGCTAGAAGTTTGACAAAGTTTATCGATCAGATAAAGACAAAACATTCATGTTTTAAAATATCAACTAATAATTGCATGATGAGTTGTTGACAACGTCAACGAGAACGACAGATCTCATCAAACGTCCACTTTACGAAATGAAAAATAAAAAAATGTAAACGAATGAATTATAAAAGTTTTATTGCACCTGTGCCGTCAGTGAATTCACACAACCTACAAATTCTTTTACAAAACATGTTTCTCTCGATTCAATTTCTTTCCAGACTTTATACTTTTTATGACTTTCAAAATTATGTATGTTTAATCAGACGAAACATCTTACTTTTTTCTTTAGGATTGTGTAGTGACTCATAAGGCTCCATGAATAATAAAAAAAGGAAAAGAGAAACCACAAAGTTGAGATTGGAAGAATAAACAACGGACTGGGACTGTTTGGTTGGTTTATGAAAGCCACAAGACGTTTAGATTAAACATTGGCGAAGTGTTTATTTATATGCTTCATTCATTCCATCACCTGGATAGATGAAAAATGATTTTCATTTGAAGAAAATTGAAAAGAAAATTGAATTTCCTTTGAATTTTCCTTGGAAAACCCCAAAAACCTCGTAACGAGATAAAATTTGCACGCCGGAAATTACTTTGATGAGAATTTCGTCTACGAAAATTTCAAATAAATTTTTCTTGCTATTGAACGATAAAATTTCCTTCAATACAAAATAAATTTATGAATCGTTCAGCATCGAAGAGCGGCAAAAATTTCAAAAAACAACCAGCTTCCGGTGACATTGAATTCGTATTAAATTTCATCACTCATGATGCGCAAGAGTGCAACATCGAAATGAACAAAACATTAAAGACGCGAAACAATGAGACGTGCTTAACGAGAATCATCTGCGATTTCTTAAATGCATTGTCGACCGGAAGTTGAACATTTTGAATGGGGATGGAGAAGTGAAAAGAAATGTCTACCTTGTGTAACGTAGTTTGCATCCAGATCTGTGTAATTAATGTAATTAGTTGTCGGTGGGTAATCACCAGCAAATGGTGACATGGCTAACATATTATCACTATAAATGACACTTTTACGATCGCTTATTATAACATCGTCATTGTGATCAATTAATCGATTCTCAATACACTCATCATCACCATTGATGCTGATACCATAAGTTTGAAGCACCATATTCAAGTTAACACCGACGCGTGATGATTTTCGTGCACGTTCGACACTCAAGTGCGGTGCTGTGGTTACTTTTACTACTTCCAGGATTAATTTTTTATTTCTCTATTCAAACTCTTTCATAAAACTTCAACTTTCTCGCGTATCCATCAGAACTTTTTTGATTATTTTCTCATCCACCAAATCCTCACTTTTCTTTTATTTAGAAGAATTTAATTTTTCTTTTAATTTCCAAGTAAACAGAATTTTCTTTTGATTTTTTCTTTTTCTTTTCTAGTTTATAATTTTTATTTTTTCACCAAAAAATATGCACGAGCAATGATCAAACGTATTCATTCGACAGAATTCACCGAGCTTCTGGGCAATGAGTTTTTTTTCTGTCTGCTTGAATCTTGAGGGAAAAATTTTTTCTACATCGTTTCAATGTTTTTTCTCTCACAAAACGTCTCTCTTCCGTTCATAGGCCGCTTATGTTGTTGAGCGCTTCTACTTCTCTCTTCTTTTGCGTGATCATTGAAGTGGTGGGGAGAAAATACAAAAAAAAAAACAGAACGAAATATCCCAACAACATATTTTCTTCGCTCTTTCTCTTCATGCTATTTTTATGTTATCCCAAAATGTTCAACGAACACAACAGTAAAACGGAAGTGATGGAATTGTTTGTTTATGGTTTTCTTTTGAACGTGTTTGATCGTTCTTTTTTATTATTGAAGTAAAAAAACTCTCCTAAAAACGTTAAACAGAAACGCTTCGTTCAGGGGAAACGCGAAGAAAATCAACAAGAACATTTCTTCACTACGAACACGAAGCGTTGTGTTTTGCGACAAACCACCTGTCTTTTTTATTCAGTTTCATTCCATCGTTGAACATTTGGTTCTCCTACAATTCCTTTTTTATTCAATAAGAATTTGTGAAGAGAAAGAGCGAAGTAAAAGCATAAGAAGAAGAAGACGAAGCGTAATCGATTGTAATCCGATATGATTTTAAAGTTTTTATGAGTTTGTTTGGAGGCTTCATAATAATTTCTTGACTTCTGTGTCTCAGGGTGTTTGCTTTTAAGCAAGGGATAATCGTGAAGATATAAAATTTCTTAAAAAATATTTCATAACAAATTAAAAAAAAATATTTCAAGCCACCAACTGGTTTCTCATCATAAAAAAATCTTCGGAAGTTGCGAGGGCGATTCTCCTTTTTCCCTGCTTTTAAAAACTGTCACAATAATTCATTTCCTTGAATAGCTTCAGAAAACAATTTCCATAAATCCTTAAATTAACCGTGAGAACAGTTTTCTTTGTTGATCAAATTTTCCTGATTTTCCCACTCGAAGAATTTCACCTTTTCAGAGTAAAAAGCTGAAAATCTTCATGCAAAGCATTCACCCTCATCAAAGCGATCTTTTAAAGTGTATAAACATTTTTTGTCCTTTGTTAATTAAGCCAGTTTATCCCCTCATGACAATTATCGAGAAATGACTTGAAAAATGCAGAAAAAAATTCCGCTGCTGTATTTGCGTGGGAATTTCCATTCACATCATATTTAAACGTTTAGAATTCCCTAACAAGACTCTCATTGCTGCTGTTTCGTGTGAATTATGTTTGAGGTACGAAAAGAAAAAATGCCTCTAATTATCATTTTTATTTATTTTCACGTCAATTCTCTCTACTCGGACTTCTAAATGCAGTTCAAATGGAAAATAAAAGTTCGTAAATAAAGCACATACATAAATTTGAATAAAAATCCATGAGGGTCAATAATTGTTCGATGAATTGTTGGCCTTAGGGATCGAGTGGCGATTGATGAATTATTCATTTAAGTGTATTTAAATCTTAAGTTTATGATGCAAACTATCAAAATGTATATGAAGACCATTCCATTCTACATTGAACATCACCCGCATAAACTGGTTTTCATTATTTTTGCATATAATTTGTTTCCCCGATGATTACTACTTTAAACATTAACTTTTTTGAAGTTTGGGGTTTCGAGACTCACAAAAAAAGAGAATTTTTCCACATGAACTGACATAAATTAAAGTTTTCATGTTCATCCAGGGGAGAGATGGGCGAAACGTTGTTGTTTCACAGAAACGTAATTAAACTTTCTTTATTACCTCAACTCATAGTGAGGGTTTCTGTTACAGGTGCTGTTGCAATCGTAAGGGTTGTCGGACATAGCAGAGTGTGTGAAAATGCATTCCGATCTACTTTAACTCGTTGATGAACTATAAGGGTTGTTAGTTATTATGACTTTTGATTACTTTTTACAAGTGGTAAACGTCCAGGTATAAATTAGATTTTTTTTTATTTCGTGCAAGGATATAAATTACATTTTAATTGCGACTTCCTCCCGCATTCCTTTAACGGATTTTTTTCTTGAGAATGTTAAATTCACGTTAACATAATTGTAGAATGGATTACAATGATCGTTTGTGTTCAAACAACTTTCTGAGAATGAAGTTGTTCATTTGAAGTGCAAAATATACGTCACCGCCTACAACCATTTAAGTCTCAAATTAACCAAAATCCTTTTATTGTACAAATGGGATTAGAATTGCTTCGATTTCCATTTACAATGCACGTGCTTCGTTCGGAAGAGAAATATTCATTCTTTCAATTTATTATTCAAATGCCATTCATTCGTGTATCCTTTTACCTTCTTCATTTTAATCTCGTTCTCGAGTGCATTTAACCCATAATTGCCTTATTGAATTGCACTTATTTCTTTGTTGCTCTCTACTTCATTCATAAATACTTCTTTGTCTCTCTCTCCCTCGGTCTTTTGTTAGATTGCTTTCATTCAAATTATCTCTTGAAATCTTTTAACAATTCTTAAAGGAAGAAGAAATAAAGAAATCTGAGAAAAGAAAATGTTGAAGTCCCTCGAATGAAATCTGAAGTTTGAATATAAAAATCGCTTTTTGCTGATGATTGTCACGTGGTCACACCCAGCAAATCATTGTTCGCATTTCAATTCGCATCCGGTGTGAGTCCTTTTTTTCCTTACAATTCCCTTCAATTTCCCGTCTTCTAATTGATGAAATTCTCGTTTATCTTGTTTCATCATTTCAAGACCCCGTGCATTAAAATTGAAGAAATTTACCTTTCTCGAGACTCATCGTGCATTCTCAAGATGTTGATCCTTATTTTGATTTCACATTTATCCAATCGCAGAATTGTTGTTTTTTATGGAAAACGGAAATGAAATTAGATACTTGTTGATGATGATGATGTATGATGAAGTGATTTTATTCAACATCATTTTCTATTTCTCGAAACTAGTTTTTTTTTACTTTTTTTTTGTTATTACCATGTTGAATAAGGAGCTTTACGATGGCAAATCCACCTGGTCGTTTTTGTTTGATATCATTCATTTTATGAAGTTTAAGTGATCGTTTAAGCGACTATCAAAAAGCCTAATGAATCGTTTTATTAAGTCATGATAAAAACATTTCATTCCATTATACAAGAATTGCTTCAAATTTATTCAAGAAAAACAAAATTACGACATCTTAATGAAGATGGGTTTGGCTTCATCAACATTATAAAATTTGTTACTTCTTTGTCTGAGTTATCCCTTCTTCCGAATGTTCATCATTGTTTGCAAAAAAAGAACATGCAAACAATGTTGGGTAGATTCAAAATTCATTTTCAATTTTTTTTAATAGAATTTTTAAAATGGAGTTTCATTCAATGAAATCTAAGAAAGAAATCTTCGACATTTTCCTGTGAAACAGGGATAAGAAATTAAGACATAAATTCAACAACTAAAACTTCAGTGGCTTATGTTTTATAATTTCTCTTTGTAACAAAGTAATATTTCACTCATAAAATCCACGAATTGAAAAATTATTCCTTTCACACCCTCGAAAACAAGAAAAAAATGTTTTTTATTTATTTATCGCGATGATATTTTTCTTTCCTTTCCTACCACAAAGAATGATTTCTCAATTTTCGATTCTACACGATTCTTACAGGGGGTGAGAAGTTTCTCAGGAAGCGAAGGTAAAAAAAAGGTCGAACTTGATAATCTTCAATCTTTAATCTCAACATTTGACGATGACAAAAGAAATTTTCTCATATTTTATTGTGACTTTCTCTTGAAATGGATGAACAATGCGAAGGGGTTTTGATTAATGATTAATTTTGTTAGCCACCGAAATTGCTACAAATTTGTTCGTTGATATGATTAAAAAGATAAAAATTAAGTTTGTTTATAAATTTCTTTCCTTTCTTTCACACAAAACGATTGATTTTGTTGGGAATATTTTTTTATTTTAATCTTTTCATTTAACAAGTAAATGCCAACATTAAAATTTCTCTGAAGCAAACAAACTTCAATGATTCTTTATAACGAATTTTCAAACGATTTCAATTCTCTTTGAGCATTAAACTTGCATAACTAGCAACTTTTTCAAACTAATTTATTCAATTTTGATGACTATTTGCTTAAGACAAGTGATTGTGACTTTGGTCAACGGATGTTTACAAATAAATTTTCATGGCAAAGGCAAAGTCTTTGTACTTATGCAAGAAAAAAAATGAAAAATTTAAGAAAGTCGTTTAATTATTTTCTTTGCAAAGATTTCTTTCCCATAAAGTCTTTTAAGTTCGATGGGCCAACCCTCGGGTTATGTTAAGAAGAAAGAGACAGAGAAAAAGAGAGAAAATCGACACCGGACGTTAGCTTTGATTTGATTTTCTGTGTAAATAAATCCAAAAAAATAAAGTTTTCACAGAATTTTTCCAGTTGGAAGAGTTTTTAAAAGGCGCATGTCCAACAATTAAACTCGCTTGCTAATCCCCGCCCGATTCTTGAAAAAATGTCTCGATGAAAAATGCTTCAAATATTTTTTCTCTCTTCGTTTGATGATTGAAGAATAAAATTGCGATTGGTTGGGTAGCGTGAAAAGTCCTCGCTTAAAATGTTATAAGTATAAAGAAATAAAAGAACTCTGTTGGCAAATAAATATTTATTTAATTATTTAAAACCATCATTTTCGAGATTAATGCACCATTCAAGGTGAATCTTATTAAAGAAATCGCGGCCTCGATGAAAGATGGTTCAGAGTTCACGCATAATTGACAATTTCGAACGTAATTCACTGGTGAAGAATGAAATAAAGGTTGGGTATGTTTATTTCGCTGGTTGTCGGTCACACTAGGATAAGCATCGCCATCAAGAGATTCCATTTCAGGGTCAGCAGTTCTGAAGTAATTTTGTACTGCTTGTCGTTCTGTCCCATTGCAATTAAATGGAAAAAAACGTAATTTTTCGAAACGCTCTCGACCTTCATGAGGATGATTTTTGATATTTTATTAAATTTTTCCATGAATTTTCATGATCAGTAAAAGTCTTAAAAAATTTTAAAGAAAATTGCGAAATGATTTAATTCTTCGACATTGAACACGATCACTTTTTTAAAGATTTATTTTTAATTTTAATTTTAGAATATCTCAATGGATTCAAAGGAATTGCAAAATGATCGAATGAAAAGAGAATAAAACTGTAAGGTGTGTAAAGTGCAAGATTCTTAGATTTGATTGTTCGCATGAAAAGATTTCTTGAGTCCATCTACGAATCGTACTTTGATGAGTCAAGCGCGTAAATCTAGAGAAACGAAAGACTCAACGCTTAGCCTAGTTGCGCTTTCAAGCACATCAATTCAATTTTCACAGTACTTTACGCCCATCGTGCACCAAAGAAAAAGAAGAATGAAGAAAATTTACATTCATATCATGCGATTCATCAATCTCGCGCGATCTTTTTTCCATCTAATATTGAAAGGGAGAGACCAAAGATGTTTCAATGCGCATTGGAATTATTTGAACCATAAAGATTTGATGGCACAACCAACCTTCATTCGATGATGATGTAGATGATCAAATCAAAAAAACCTAAAGTGATGTAATTTTAGTAAATATTTGAAAGATTCCCTTTTTCGGTTACCGCGCTTGGTGTTTTATGAGCCTTCGATTTTGGACAAGTCACTTAAATTCAATCATTTCCCCAAAAATTATCTAAAACAAAAAGAAATCTTTTCAGATAATTACAGAGGGCGCTCTTTCATTACGTTTCATCTTAATGGATTCTTAGAAGGAAGAAGATGAAAGTTCGAAACATAAAATTAAATTATTATTACAATCTCTTCATACTTTGTCAATAAACAATGGGGGCCTTTCAAAATCTTTCAAAATCTCAGCTATAAAATTGCTTTGAAGTTGCTTGCATAAAATATTGATACAGTTTAATGGAAATCACATTTAAGATTTAAATAATAAAACCATTGTAAAGCAATGAAACGCTATTTGATCAAGAAAAAACTCTTTCTTCATTTCTTTCATAGAATTGAATTGGAAACAGCTGGAAGGCTGTAAGCGACAGTGAACTACTAGGAATGGTGTTAAAAGGGCCCTCGGGCCAATGAAAGTCTTTTCCACAATAAAAAGGAAATTTATATGATGAGACAAAATTTGTTTTGATTTTAAGTAATCACGCAGCGTGCGGAAGCAAAAAATTAGTCCAACTGTGCAAGAGATGACAAGAGAGAATGGTTAAAGGGCTGAATGGTTAATTTCTTGAAGGCCGGGGACAACTTCCTGAGCCGTAAATAATTTTTGATTCTAAAAGACGATAAAGTTAGAAGATTGCACATAAAATTTAATTAATGTACGCTTAGACGTGTTGGTTCTGATTGTCAAGATTTCGACTTCATGACTGTTATTAATTACGGTAGAATGAGTGAGTCGTTTCTCGTCATTGAGCTACTTGACAACAATGTAAAATAAATCCAATGACGTTATTTTCACATTGTTGACGAGTCGAGTCGGTACCTCAGCGACTCAAGCTGACATTAAAATCAAATAAAAAATATTATGATAATTGTTGATATGGCGATAAAATGTAAATTTATAAAAACAATTGAAATATTTTTTGTCGAAAATTCATCGGTTTAAAATAAAAATTTTGGGACTTCAAATTATAATCAAAATTTGATTTGTATCTTCAAATATTTATTAACTTTTCAATTAGTATTTGACTCTCATAGAAAATTAAAATCATAAAGCTTCTAAAGATAATTTCATGTCATTTGAAATTACAACACGAAAATGATCGCGAACCGATCCGATCGTCAGTGAGTGATTTCCAAAAAGCCTCCGATTTTCGCCATTATAATAATCAGTTTCCATTTTGATGGGTTTTCGAATAATTTTCTATTTTTCTGGCTTAATTACAAAACCTTCATTCATTTGTTCTTTCACAACATTTCACGATGAGTTGAAAAATCGTCGATCGGTGGAATCAAAAATGCGTAACGAGAATGCCGATTTTTCGACTCGATAAAAGACCTTCAGTGAAATCATTTTTATATTTCATTTAAGTATTTTTACGATTCTCGTTGTCCACGACTTGCTTTACGGTTCTCTGCCTTTAAACTTTCGCATGACGTCATCAAGATCATGGAGTCAAGTTAATTAGAGTTTTTGTATTTCAAACTTAATTAAAATGATCATCTAAACATTTTTATTGGCGTTTTCTTGATTAGAATGTTCATTCATTAAAGGAAATTTGCAAATAACTTTCAAGTCTAATCCTTATCTCTCTCTGATGATTGTTATTTAAATTAATAGCTACACAGTTGAAAGTTTCAATGACTTCTAACTCATTGTTCTTTTTATTATTATTTCGAAGCACTCAACACCGGTAGCCGACCACCATTTTCAAGTGTCCATAAAAATGAGTCGACAATGGAGAAGAAAAGTCATTACACCGACCCGAAAATCACCCATAACGATAATCATCTAATTATGATCGTCATAGATGAATTATCTACATTTTGATGTTTCATTCTTTCATTCATTCTCTTTGTTAGTGAAATGTGAGCAATGATGGAGAACGTTTTTTGGCTGCAAATAGCGAAAATCACATTTCATTAACTGATATAAGAATTCATACAAATCACTTTTCTTCTTCTTGATGATGATGACAGAATTTTATGGCAACTTATTACATCTTTATGTCACGCTCATTTCAATGATTCATAGCGTTAACTACTTAGCTTAGTAGTATGATTAAAACTTCATACGAAAATTGAATATTAATACACTTTTCGTCTTCAACTTCTCGATTAATAGTCACAACGATGTTTAGACATTTCTTCTACCTTCGACAAAGAGCGGAAAAAATTCAGTCAAAGAGACGACGACTCGTCGTTGATGAACTTCCGGTCGTTTAATTCATTTTGATCGTTTTCGGGTAGGATAAAAAGTATTCCTCGAGTGTAGAGTGCAAAGAGATGACGACGAGAAATGTTTTTTCTGGGCTGGTAATTAGACTGGGCACTTAATTGAATTATCTCTTAATTTCTTCCACCGAAACGCGCTCCATCGAACAGCTTCAAAGTGGGGAATTAATATTTCTACTTTGACTTCTCTTTTTATTTTATCATCGACGCTATGTCGTATAAAAAATTGATTTCATGAGCTTCGAAAAAAAGTCATAAATCAAATCATGAGCATGAAATACTCGCCTTTTATGATTCTGGAATAATAATCATAAATGCGAGAAACAATAAAAGATTTCGATTTCATTACATAAAAGTTTTGTTTCATTTTAATGTACTTTTGATGGAATATTTTGTCATCGAACTTGAGTTTATGTTTTACTTAGCACTATAAAAAGTTTTTGTTTTCATACATTACACAGAAATTGTGTAAACTATGTTACTTTGTAAAATTAATTATAATTTTAGCTTAACTTATTTCTGTTCTGCTAACATTTTAAATTCGAAAGGTCAGAAAAATTTTTTTTCCACTTTAGCAAGTCGATTTCCGGTGTCTTCAAATTTTGTGGTTAATGAATTTTCATTGTTGTGCAAAATATTTTTAATATCAAATATCGATCACTTCGCCACAACTTGAAAGCATTCGTTGAAAGCATTTTTGTTCAATATCTCAAAATTACCATTAATTTGCTCGTTTAGTGAACGTAAAGTAATAAGTAGAGAGTCGAGTTGACGAAACCCCAGGAAAAAAGAAGAACGAAGCAAGCAAAGGGAATAAAAATGAAGTTTTGATGTTTTGTGTGACAGAGCCGGAAGTTGCTTCTCTGGGTTAGTAATGCGCCTTTCAACGAATCTTTTTCTTGAATTTATAATTCTTCTATTTTCACTTTTCGACAGCAGTGAATTCTATTGGAATTTGATGCGTGTTTCCAATTGCCCTACGCACTTCCAGTGAAAGAAAATATTTACTGAACACGTGCGAAATGTGAATTGAAGACGAAATCATTCCGGATAATTCCATTAAGCGTTGCCTTTTGTTTATTTGTTTTCTATTTTTTTCCTTTAACAATCTCAAAGATGCTTCAATGAAGTTCAGTTGTGAAACTCATGAAAAGGGATGAAGACGACGACGCCCAATCCATCAACATTCATGTCAAACATTTTAAATCCTTTCTTCAAAACTTTAAATCGTCAGCTGGGGATTTATAATTGTTTGATAACTCATGACAGCATCATATGCTTGACTTTTATCATGAAAAATACTTTGTAAAAACCATTTCAAGCTCAGAAGTTCTGATAAGGAATTTAATTTATCAACAAATTTATGCAAATTCATTTATCACCAAACATGTGCAAAGCAGACCAGCCCAGACCAGTCGTCGGGTTCTAATATGTATCATTCATGGGATAACCAATTGAAACAATTAAATGCCGATCATATATATGCTTGGCATCTGCCTGTCTCGCTATAGCTTAATTAAGTCTTTTGCTATAAAATTTACGTAAGGCGGCAATATTGTTAGTCTGGCAATGCTGATATTCAGAGTCATCAAGTATCTTGTAATGACATGTTTCATGAATCTGAATGTCTGCGGTGCATTAAACAGCATCAATATTTATGAGGCATCATTGACTTCAATTCGATGATATTTTGTTGCGAAAATAAAAGAGATTTAACTTCAGCCACGGTGTATAAAGTAAGTTAATTCACTTCTTTCGGTTAATTAGTGTTTAGGGATTGATCCGCCTTTCAGTACATGAATTAATGAGAATTAATTACTTACAGATAACGCCTTTCAAGTAATATCGTCTTAATGGCATTGGGAATTGCTTTATTTACTTTTAAATTGTCCACTTTTCAGGAAACAAATTTAACGTCACTTTTATATTCTCCCCAATATCAACTTGAATTGTCGTCCATTTTCATTCAACTACTGCATAAAAATAACTCTACATAAACCTTTTTTTGCATCATAATTATTTTAATCGCACTCTCCACTCTATGCGCGCATATTTAATGATAGTAGTTTATTGAAATGGAAAAGAGACACTGGCAGTTTGTGTATTGTAAAGTAGCAACTAGTGGAAAAAGCTCACCATCAATAATACGAAAAATTGTTACTTGCTTTTAAAACATGCAAGAAAAAAGTTTAATGAACCTTGTTTGTGATTCTGTTGCTGTCGCTTTTTGTCAGTCACAAATGTCAGAAATGTTAATGAAAGTGGACAAAAAAAAGAAGTTAAAACTTAAAAGTTCCAACAAGTGAAACTATTCTGTCAGACAAATGTACGAGTTTCCCCTTGATATTGATTTTATTTTTTTTTTCTTTCATCGACAAATTTATTAATTTTCATCATCCGTTTGCGACTTCTTCGAGTCATCGTATCGGATGAAGCATAATGAAAAATTGATTCATTAATCGATCAACCTCGCTTCTCTACTCGACTTTATTTTCAAACTCGAAAGCTTGCGTGTTCTTCTCATACAACTGCATCGAAATCCACACAAAAGGTGATTAATTATTTCGCTATTATCTCTCGACTTCAATTTTCTCTTTTATTCTGCAACAATTTGCAAGATTTTTCCATTGTTTGGATAAACGTTTTGTTAATTATGTTGCAACATAAATTTAATGATCGGCAGCAGGCTAACTAAGAGATTGTCGAGGGAAATAAAGAAAAGAATTCAAAACTTTTCTAACAACAATTCGTTAAACTTTGCATTTTATTTATTGACAAAAATCATGAAACGGATGAAACGGAAGTCGACCCGTTACTAAAATCATTTTATGGGCAATCAACAAATGTTTCAAAGCAATGTTGTTGGTTGTTAAGTTGGTGACGACGAAATATTTTTATTGCAGTTTCTAATTAAACAACTCCCATGAACCTGACCAACGATATTTCTTAGAAAACCGCATTGAAAATGCGAATCCTCCAGACATCATCGGTCATGGTTGGAAACGTTTAATTAATTTTTTTTTTGGCCACCCGAAAACAACGTAAATAAAGAAATATTTTCATAGGCAACTCGTAGTTAATTCTCATGAAATATTCCATTGTTACAGCTTGCAATCAAATCACTGAAATCTCCTATTTTAATTTGTCCAAAAGTCTGACATCTGAAGGCATCTGTTTTGATCAGCTGAACGCTATGGCCATCGGTGAAATCAAGAATTCAACTTAATTACAAAGCTCCAACAACCAAAATATCAAATTTACATAAAATTCAAATTTTATTCCATTTTTTAACAGAAGTAAAAAAAGTTCTTTTGTTTTTGTTCTCGCATGTTTGTGTGTATGACAATTCAACTGAAAATCACCGAAAAAAAAAGAGAAACGCAGCTCGACCATGAAATGAAATAGATTTTCGTACCGAACCCGAACGCGAATATTCTAAAAGATGAGTCAAGAACGTTGTTCATTGCTCGACTCATTGTTTGCAAGTTTTTTTTTGTTATCATTTTTTTCCTTCATATGATTAATTAGCTAACGCAAATTAGAGCGGTGAATTGTACGAGTAAGTTGTTGAAGTAAGAATTTTTTTTTGTCATTCTTCGCGGTGTTGATTCGTCTTCGTTTTGTGTTGTCATGTTCAACAATTGCTCTTGACCGTTAACATTTAAATTATTCTCCACCTTTCCACTCTTACATGGAAACTTTTCCAAACAATTGGATGTTTTTGTGTAAGAAATTCTATTTAAGAAAAACTGATGTAAAATACTTGTACTTACCACCAGCAGGAAAGTTATCTTGTCCGTTTAATTGATTGCTATTGTTGTTGCTATTGTTAGTTGACGTGTTTGTGTTTGTTGTTGTCGTATTGCCGCTGGTTGATGTATTGCTATTAATGAAATCACTTAAGTCCGTTGACGATGTCGTTGTATTTATATTGCTTTCGTACAGCTGATCATTGGTCGATGGCTTTTCACAATCTAATCATGGTAAATTGATTTTTGTTACAACATTATGTGAATTCAATTATTTGCTAAACTACAAGATGAAAATCTTTTTCGACTAAATCAGGTCAATCTGCATTTCAATTGAATTTCTTTAAGGAAATCAACAAGTGGACATCGAAATGAAGTTATTGAGGAAGATAAAAACATATTTCATAAGAAGGAAAGTCAATTTTCCTTCCGATCGAAAGGAAATGAAATCAAAAATAAGATTTGGGGAGCGAGGGAAACTGTTTTGCTTGTTTATGAAAAAGAAATTCAATTGAACGACCCTTCTGAACCTTTGAATTAAATTTTCATGCATCTTTCATGTTCATTCAACTTCAATTCAATCAAAACATGCAATTTACTTAGACGCTTTAAGATATAAAATAAAATACGAGCGCGCAACAAGTTTCTTTTATTGCATTTCAGCTTATTCAGAGTTCATTTGTAATCAAAACGCTTTTGACCCTTTTTCTTGAATCTTATTATTGTCTGCAATTTCTTCACAAATTCTGATTTCTTACTTTGCATTTAAAGAAGAAAATAAATGAAATCAAAAGAGAAAATCTGAACTTTTTTTTTGATGCTGATAATCATCAAACGTCGCTTCCATCAAACACTCTTCATTTTTTATTTATGAAAATTATATCTTTCTGATTGGTTTATTCCAACTCTTTATTCTCCTTACCTTCCAACCGTCTATTTTATGGCTCAACAAAAAGCGATTTTAAAATATTCATTTTCTATTGTTATTCAAATTCAAGTTTTAGTAGCGCGTAGAACGAACTCTTGTTGCTAATAATAATCATGAATCAAAATGTAAATGGATTCTGATTTGAAGTTTCTATGAAATTACGATTCACTTTAAAGTGAACTGAAATGGATTATTTATGCTCTGTGACGACATATTTAAAACATGAAACTACTTTTTATGTTTTTCAACTCTCACCTTTTTGTAGAATCTCTAAGTGCTCCCACAAAATATCGCCAGTGTAAACCGGTGCGATTGCTAGGAAGCCTTCACGTCCCAAGCCAATCAAATCACGTCCATGCATCTTTTTGAATGCATCAATATTGCTAATCTCTAATGTGAATTCACGTTTCACCCACTCCAACCAATACTTGATATGTTCAGAAGTCCACTGACGAGGATCTGTGAATAAAAATCAGAAATTACATAACAATCAAATCTTCTAATGAGAAATGTTCTTGTTAATTTTTGAAGAATCGGCACACGACCCACTTGAAAACATTTTTAACGAACATTCTTCTTTGTCTCCACGCTTTGTTTGACATTGAAAAAAAGAATTCCTCAAAGCTTAATTAACATGCGGGATTAAAATAATTATGAATTCTTCGTAAAATGTGCAACAAAAGGTTAATTTAACAATTCACAACGATTCAAAAATCTCTTTCTTTTGCTTTTTTCACGCCAGCTGATAGAGTTCATCATATGTCGTTTGAATGCAAAATTTTGTTTTTTGCTGTTTAATTAAATGACCGATAATTTCCATAATGGCATTTTGAAGACGAAAGAAAAACTTTTTTGCAGACGTTTCGCATAAAATTTAAAACTCTTCTTAACTAAGTAATAATTTTATAGTTTCTTTTGTTTCAAGTGTGCTTAATGTCTTGCCACACAACACAACGCGAGCCTTCTTCATGGCGTCCACGCAAGAAGCACAACAGCCACTAAAAAAACTGTAATAAATTAAATGTTTCACCTTAATTTGAATTTCAAATTCTTCTGTTTAAGGTTAAATTCTTCTTCGCTTTTATTCCACAATCCACACATGTGAACATTTGATGGAATCTACTTTTTAAACATCACAAAAGTGCATTTAGTTATTCGTCTGAAATATTGCATAAATAATAAATCTTTATAGCTGTGACTCCGATGATTCATTTATCATCAACATTGAATTTGAATGGATGGGAAAAGAAAACTTTGCACACTCTTGAAACAAGTGCAAGAGTTTTTGCTTTAAGGAATTCAACTTTGGTTTGTGCCGAAAGCAAGATCATTAATTAAACATCAAGTTTTATGTTGAACTTACCCTTTGAAATTTTATATGATTGTACTTCTTTATCCCAGGATGCAAACGATTGTTTCAATACATCGGTGAGTTTCTTGTTCGTGCCAGGCGTCAGCGGTGGCATTTGCGGTTGATCTGGAAATGAACATTTTAGCGATTAATTAAAATACAATTAAGCGATTAAATCATGAATTAATGATGAATAGATCAGTGAAGACATTTAAGATTGACATGATGCAACAAAATGATTCTTGCGGTATCAAAGTCATAAAACTACTTCGACTTTAACCATTAACATTTAGCAATTTCATTTGAGGGCGTTACCGGCTACCTCGTCAGCATCACTCTTCATTTGGAGGATCGTTTATCATCATTTATTACTATTCTCTATTGCCACAATAAGCGCAACGTCATAATTATTTTCTAGTGGCTCCAATAATTGTTTAAACTCTTCTCATCTCGTCGTAAAGAATGGAAAAGAAACGAAGTTAAGATCGAAGCTCAAAACCAAATACGTACTTGAAGATGCAGAGAGAGAGGAGACTCGACATCTGTTTATGAACACAATTTGTAATTATTATTGTGTACGAAAATGTATCTTAAAGAGATTGGAGTATTAAACAGCAAACAGGTATTAAGAAGCAATTACACGGAAGGAAAATTTTTAGTTTGTCAAGACTTTTACATTTCCATTCACCAACAAATGCTTTTAGTTCTTTTTTGTTGGATTACTTTTTTCAGTGTAAATCAGAATGATGTTCAACTATCATCTCATTTATCATTTATTACAGAAAACAAACAAAACAAACCCTCAACCTATCAACAACATTAAAATAAAACCTTTTGGAATCTCTGAATGCAAAGTCGTCACGTCGACACGAAACCGCGAGATAGCGGTTAATAAATCATGGAGAAAATTAGTTATTTAGTTAAATTAATAATTTTTTCCTTTCATTTCTCCTTGATATGAACGAGCATAAGTTTAAGAGTTTGAATCACTTGTAAATATTCATGCTGCGGTTCAGTAATTAACTTTTTTCCTTTCTTTTCTCAGCAATCATCAATCTGGCTCGTATCTTTAGTTTGTTTTAGTTTTTATTTAGAAATAGTTTGAAATCAATTTGATTTATCATTCAATTGTTTTTAGTTTTGCGAGCTGTTGTGACTTGTTGACGACAGTTAAATATTTTATCACAAAAAGATGTTTACAACTATAAAAAAAGTTCTAATGACGCAAGTAAAATAAAATAAAATATCGCCACTAGATATTTACTCATGAATGAGTCAAGAATCGAATAGTTGATGACTTCTATGTTCATCAATTTCTCGTTTTTCATTTGATAATCTCGCAAATTCAAAAATCACTCAAGTGGCTCTTCTCATTCATTCATCTTGATACTTAAACAAAATTAAAATAAATTGATTCTTACTTCTTGAAACATCACATCAAAGCTTAAGAGAAAATAGCATTCAGCTTCATCATTCTGATGATATTTCATTTTGTATGTTTCATTAATGCTTCTCGATCATCATACTCGTACATGATGCGAGTGCGTATTCAAACTAACATGAGTTTAATAGGCTAATCGTACTATGGAAATATCATGGTGGTCACATGAGACTTGAACTTCAATAGAAACTTGATTATCTTAATTCAACTCACTCTTCAAGCCCTGATAATTACTACATAAGAGATTTGTGGTCGTATAAAGTTGTTTTAAGAACAAGAGCTTTTGATAATAAGTCAATGATTTAAGAGATTTTTATTAATTGCATTTCTTCGAGCGGGTTCTTAATCATGCATTGATTTATCGTTGCAACTTGAAATGTTTTTCTCTTATTAAAAACTCAAGCAAGTATTTGGGAATTAATTAAATTCGTTTTCATTTTTCAAGTGCAGAATTAAATTGCAATTGAAGAATAATTTTGTAACATACATGAAATTGTTGTGTGAATTTTCACCTTCAAAATCAACGAAGAAGAAACAAAAACAAAAAATAATTTCAAGAAAGTGAAGATTTTGACTTTGAAAATTCGACTAAATGAGCTTTGCTCATGTATACGATTATAATAAATTATGCTTTATTCGCCCTCTCGTCGTCTGACCAATACACGGGATTTTGATAAATTACAGATTGAGTTCTCGTTGTTGTGGAAATTTCTGATATCATCAAATGAGTCGTGCGATGAGATTTCAACGTTTCACTCAAATGTCCATGCATTGAAGAGAATGATTCAGTTTCATCAGACTTGATATGAATCTATGTATGTAGATATTTTTTTATATTATTTCTCTTCAGTTTAAAAACAAATTAAAGTCTCTCGCTCATCGTACATATATTCATCAGAAGGCAACAACAACCTAATTACATATTTTTTAACCAACGATTTTTATTTCACAAAATTTTCCAACCGTGAAAAAATCAGTTAAATATTTTTATTTTATCTTTTTTCGAGAATTTCAACTTTGTTGTTACTGACTTTTTGAGAGTCGACCAGAATATTTTTTACTTTTATTCAACTGAAGGGTCAGAAATTGTTTACGACTCACACACACACACACACACACCCAGAAAGGGGTCTGCGAAAGACAATGGGAAAAGTTTTATTTTTATGAATTTTTCACGGTTAATGAAATGAGACTGTGGCTGTTGTTATTTTGCTTTTTATTTTGCCGAGCTTAGAGTTTTATTCAAATTTCGAAAAGTTCGATATCTGATGCAATCAAAGAGACTTAAATGACTGTAAACAGCGTAAAAATTTAGAGAAGTAAAATTCATAAAATTTTCCGTCAACTCACCTCGTGATGGCTTTTGAAATTTATTCATTAGACTATAATGATTGAGTGCATTTGTATTATTGTTATTTAAATTATTATTGAATGGTTTTATTCCCATTTTGTTATAGAATTGTTGCTGCGGCTGATGGTGCATGTTGGTCGTCAAGAAACTATTGTTATTCGTTATTAAACTATTATTGTTTGGTGGATACTTGAATGGCGTCCGTGCATGAACATTCTCAGCATAATCAATCCACTCGTTTGTCATTTTATTTGGCTTTTTAAAAAGAAATTCACCGAATTCGTCCATAAATAAATATGTGATTCAATTTTATTCTTACTCAAATATTCAATTCTCTCTCTTCTACTTTTTTTTTCTTTTCACCACATTTGGCAGAACACAAAATTCTCTTTATCTCCTTTCTTATTTTTATTTATCTTTTTGTAATTTGTTTCTTTCTCCTTCACAACAATAATTTCACATTTTTTCTTTGCCTTCAATTTCTACGAGAATTGTTGAAAGATATGCGACTTTAAATGTTACTGATAAACCGAAAAGCAATCACGAAAATGAGCTTTTCACTGGAACTGAAACTTTTTAGTTCAAAAACCGATAAAACTGTAAAAACATCTTTTGTTAATGTTGTTCATTGATAAGCAAGCAAAAATATAAAAAGAATTCTTCAAACTGCAAAAGTCATTTAACAGTCGCTTTTTCATATTTTTTTTCGTAGGCGTTCATGAGCATAAATAAAATTGATAAAAAAAAAACAAAAACTAAGAAATATCATTCGTCACACAAAGTCCATTTAATTTATTTTAATTAGATTTAATTTACGCTGTTCTGTGTCCACTTTCTACATCGACAATTGCATTTAATTTAAATAAATAGTAAGAGACTTCTTGCCCATGACTAAAGTCTTCCAACTTTGTAATGATGATGAGGCAACAAAAAAAAAAAGAGAGAAGGAGAAATTCCAGTCCCTGAGGGTTTAGAAAGCCAGAGTCATTCACTGAGGGTGACAATTCGAAATCTATTCAATTAAATCTCTCCTGATGCATAAAACAGTAGTTAAGAGATGTAAGAACGACCACATAATGATGTTATGAGTATTACAAAGCATTAAAAAACCCAAACACAGCACACATTGCTTGTGGTTAATTTAAATAAATTCTTTTAAATTAAACCATAAATGTATTTTAATTTATTCAATTGTCCACTTAATAAGTCTGTGAGTTTTTTTTTCTATTGATGGCTCAGCTACTGTCTCTGATGTTTGTTTATCTCAAAAGAGCTGACAGTTTATGCTTTTTTGATGACAGAAAAATAGGAGTGGAAGAAGCAGACAACTTTAAAGAAGGCTTAGAATGAGTTTAAGATATCGACGATTTAAAAATCAAAGGTTTCTCTTTTTTCTCTCTTCATGCCTTCGAGTGATTCTTTTAGATCACACAACGTGGCTTTAAATGTGAATTGAAAAATTGTCAATTGAATTTATTTACAGTCAAAGTTTCGTCACCAACATCACTGCATACATCAATTTACTCAAACATATCTCTATGTAGTTATATTGCTTGCCTAGTTTTTATCAACATCGTAGACATGATCAAATTTGCATAAATTTATGTGCATAACTAAGAGAATAAATCATCAACGCTTCCTTCGAGAGATGATAAATTTAGAACATGAAAGCTAATTATGTGCATCAATAAATTGTCTCGATCCCTTCAACTGTCTCAATTTACAGTCGAAAATATTTCCAATGTGAGAAATTTCTTAAAATATTTTCTTTTTCTGTTTCTTTTGAGAATCTGATCTTGGAAGTAAATGAAAGAAATTGAAGATAGATCGAGTTACGCATTGTTAATCATTGAGGTTGTAATGTTGTAATGTAACGATTTGTTTGTTGATATAAAAGCGACAATTTCCCCCGCACTCTTAATTATCCAATGATAAATGTTCTCAGATCATCGACAAGCGACTAAATCAAATTAATTATCATATGTCAAAGTCTTTAACCTCGAATGAAGATGCTCGCGCGACAACGCATCTTAATTCTATTTCGACAGAGAAGCTTGAGACATCGGAGAAATTAGTTTGATGCGTTTAATGTTTGTGTTTTATTGGGTGTCAAGCGAGAACATGTGAACACAATCGTTGTTGATAAATTAAATTAAATTGTTGCCACATGATTAAATTATTGTATCATCATAGATTCATTCATTGCTGTTGTCTTTTTGGGGTTAAATGATTTCAACTTTGGAATTGATTGAGGTTGGGGTTTGTTGTGATTGCTTACATTCATTTTTTATTTTCGTTAACAATTTTGTTGTAGTAAACTATGCATCAGTGACATTTTGATTGTGCAAAAATGTCCAATTATAAAAGATAATTCACTCAGTGACGAGGTTTTTTTTTTATGATAGACAATTCGCAGTTTCAAACAAAAAGGTTGAAATCAACGTCACTATAATTACAGCTTGGTCAGTTATATGTCATAAAAACTTGACTTGGTGAATCAGAAAAGATTCTTGACGTTGTTCATTAATTTGTTTGTGCTGTGCGTTTTTTTCTCTTCTTTCAGAGAGCCTAGTTCACGCTATTATGTAATTCGAAGTCTTTTGTAGGTTTTATTGCCGGGCCATGATTACACCGCTTTTCTCTTCTCTATTTCCCAACAAAACGCTCCATAAACAAGTGAAAGAATTTTATTTTCGAGAGAATTTTTCCCACACTTGACTTCACTTTCGGCTTTGGATAGGAAGGTTTCTTCTTTCCCTTCTTATGTTTTACGATTTCATTCTCGTTAAAGTGTCAGATAAAAATTTCTCTTAATTATTTCTTAACCGCTGTGCTTGCTTTTAATGAGACATGAAGTGAAAATTCCTGTGCAGAAAGTGATTACTATTGATAACATTACGAATAAAAAAGCGACGGTTAAATGCTCACAGAATAACTTCAATAAATATTTTAAAAAGTTTAGAAACCTTTTCGTCTAAATTCTAAAAACTTTTTGCTGGCTTATCAATGTCTGAACATTGTCTTCGAATAAAAAAATAATAATTCGAATCACGATCAGTTTTTTTAATAAATTATTCCTTGATCTTCTTCAACACTTTCAGCCACTCCAAACTTTTATTCAAATTGCTGATGAATTATTCAATAATATTTTAATACAAAAATTCTTTTCTTCATTCCACCTTTTTTGCGATTACGCAAATTTTTTCTATCAATTGAATTTCTTTTCTTCTTATTTATCTTCAAATCACAACACGAATGTTTTCAATGAAATTTAACTTTGATCTAAATGAAATAGTTAATTTAAATTCCTTGATGGATCGTGTCAAGTAATGAGAACTTTTCTGTCAAGTGGAAAATTCTTTCCTTTCACACTTTTCCGCTAATTTACGATAAAAAAATTTTGTGCACGACACGAAAGAAAATTTCATTTAAAAAACTTCTCCACAAAACTTTGTCGAACAGAACGAACAAATGTTGAATGTTGAATGAAATGAGTATGTTGAATGGGGAAACAAAAAAAAACACAACAATTTTTTGTTATTCTTTTTTTCTTGACTATCATACATGAGAATACATGTGAAGCAAAGATATATATCCAAGTATCGTTCAACTGTATTTGTACGATAGTTTTTACCAACTTCATAAAAAAAGTATTTTCTTCTCGATCTCATTCATGAAACTCTAAAACGATCGTTCGTAGTGTGTAAAGTGTATGATGAGGGAGTGAGAAAGAAGCCAAGAATTGTGTGTCCGGCACAGGAGGTTTACGTAAAAGTGTTTGTGAACGGAAACGATACATTCAAAACATTTTTAAGCTCTTTAATATGACTTTTAAGCTTGTATTTGCTTTGGTTTTACTTTTCTACTTTATATTTTCATTCGCTATTTGTCTATTCGCGTCGAAGCTGTTTGTCGACTTAAATCAATCTCAGATAATCTAAAGATTTGCTTTCTTACGAAAAAGTTTTGCAAAAAAAACAATTTTTTTTTAATATAAGCTTGACACGATATCAGGTTTCTCCTTTAATTCATTAACCCAACGATTTCGATTAGGACCATATTGAAAACGAGCGCCTTAAAAGTATAATTTCTTCTTTTTCTTTATCATCATAATCTTCGTCTTCTTCTCTCCTTGTTTCTTAAGGCCAACGATTCATTCATTCAGTACTTTTTTTACGGAACAATTTCCGGTTACGTTTTTGTGTCTTTCTCTATCTTTATTTTTCCATTATCAACTCCCAACAAAAACATAAGCAGACAATCTTCCTTTGATGGAATCACTTACACACATGTATAATGAAGAACTGATGAGATGTTGAATGAATGGTATTTAAAGCCTAGAAATATCGAAGTGAAGGTAAGGAAAGAAGACAGACAAAATCTGACGTTTTTCTTTTCATTCAACTAAAATTTCCAAAACTCTTCGTAGTAACAACAACAACAACTTAACATATATTTATGAATGAATTTTTTTTACTACAAATCTTCGTTTCCATTCATGAGAGCAAACCTTGATTACAGATGGAATGGGATTTGTTTTCCAACAAGGTATCGATATGAGGTAAAAGATTCGTCATTGTCTCACCCACAATAGATTCTCGGGGTGAATCGAAGAGAAAAGGAATTCAATGAGTGAAATCTGAACCTCATTGAAGAGAATTTCTTTTTGTGCACTTTGCAACACTGAAAAGGGAAACAATTAAGTAATTGTATTGTTGTTTAGCGGAGGATCATATTTTTTCTGAATTGTGCGATTTTTTGTGTTAAGTTCTTTGCTGTAGGGATTGATAGCAGGTAGGAATGTTACCTGAAAAGAATTCATTGCACTTGAAAATATTTACTAGCGTAAATTGTAAAATTGATGAACTTCATCATTCATTCTACAGGTGAAGTTTGAATCGAGAAAAAAATTATCTAAGTTGGAAAATCCAAATAAATATCAGCGCATGTGCGCCACAAGGTGGGAAAATCTGCAAAAAAAATCGTCACACAATAATAATCTTAAACGAAAACAAATGAATAGAAGATAAAGATCAGTAAATCACAAAGAGAAAACAATTTACTGACAAAAATTAACATAACTAAACTACTATGAATGCTGGTAATCTCATGTATAAATATCAACAATCTTGCGCATTTTTCATCCATAATCCTGGCATTGTGTTTAAATATGAAAAAGCAGAAAAAGGATTCGAAAAGAATTTTATTCCTTTAACAATCCCTGTTTAAATGAATGTGAATGGAAAAGAGAAAAGCCCAGAGTCAAGTAGATTCCCTTTTGTCGACCCAAGTTGTAAAAGACGAATTCAAGTGGGAAACCTTTAAAATGTAAACAGGAAATTTGTGAATTATTACCGAGAAGTGATAGTATGTCCGATCATTTCAAAATGATAGATAAAATTTAAAACAAAATTCCCACATTTCGTTACACTTGATGTTTATCACTTGTTGGGGAAGTTTTCTTAAATATTGTCAAGGACGTAAGAATCATTAAAACTTCTTGTACATGTGGGTTAAGAAGTAAAGTAAATTATTCATTCTGACCGGAAATAGAACCACGTCTCAAATGCACTTATTTTAAGATATTTTCGGTGACGTCACCAAATATATCGCAAGTAAAACACTCGTAACTTCAACAGAGACAAAAAATTGATTTCATGAAAGATGACGCAACATTTCCTGTGTCAATTCGATTGAGAATACGCTGGTAACATCGAAGATAATTACGATATCCTTTTTCAGTCTCTTCTCTACATTTTTCGGTCGTCATGTTATTTCTTCTAAAAACATGTTTTTTAATAGAATAGATTGTAAATGAAGATTGGAAGTAAATGTGTTGTAGAATGATCCCGTCCAATTTGTAACACTTTCTTGATCCGAAATTAATGATCATTCACACATACAAAGAAATAAGTGTAGGGAATCTAAGCTAAGTCATTCTTATTTCGATTTCCTTTGCGTAAATTCTTCTTTCTTCTTTTCTTAATGATTTTTTATGGGTCTTAAAATATACCGCGAAATGAGTGTAGTTATTTTGATATTTTTCTGCTTCATTGAACTAACTTTCAGTTTTTTTTCAACTATTGGAAACTTTTCATGACATGGTAGGCGTAAAAAAATGTCGATCGCAACTGTTCTGGCGCAAAAGCGACGAAATTGCAACCTCAAAAATCATTAAAATAATGAAACGTTATGTATTGAAAGCAGCTGAGATTTCCAGCATGTACAATTGCAATTCACAGATGTACCGATTGCATGCTGTGGCATCATGAAGTGTTTTCTTAAATTTAAAATTGCTATAAATAATTGCAAATAATCACTCATTGCACTTGTGTGTGAATTTAGCAGAGGCGGATGTGCTTAAGGCGATTTAAGAATTGAAAAACTTTTCCTCCAATCATCTCTGATCATTTCAATTGCAATCTACGATGAAAAAAGGAGAAAATTTGCATCACTCATTGATGAAATTTTCTATTCGAAGTGAAAATAGTTTTATGAGTCTTTTAATTTGATGTTTGTGAAAATTTTCATATTCAAAACGAGAGTTTCATATTGAAGAAAATCTTTAAATTGTTTTATAACTTCCACTGGTCTATGTTGAAGCAAAGTTTGTTCTTTTTATATTTTATTAAATAGTAAATTTCATTTCGACGAGAGCAAGTTTTCTCAAATGTGTTTCTTATTCTTTATATTTACTTGATGAGATGCTGTAAATGTTTTCTTACTTCTCGAGAATCTTTCCATCTGTTCAACTTTATTAATGAATCTTTGCAGTCTTATTCATTTCTTACGTTTGTATCTCTTTTTTTCTTTTTTATTTATGCTTCTCATTCTCCTTTGGTTGCATTTGCTTCGTAGTAGAAAAATGAAAAAGTGCATCAGCGAAAGAAATCTTTTGAATGAAAACAGATGTGAAGGAGATAAAAGATACGCGCGATGAAGCGAGATGGAGAATTCATTCATAAACTCTTCATTGTAGTAAGAAACCGAGAATCCATAAAAAAATTTCCACTTTGATCGTGATTTTATATGCTTGTGAAACCGAGGATTCTTTTTCGAGGTTTCATGCCTCGACAACAAGGCTCGAAATGGAATTTGATATTCATATCCTGTCCCATATTTTCCACTTCATAATTCATAAAACATTTTTTTCATATTTTTGACAGACTCCCGATTTCTTGAATAAAACAACAGGTGTAATTTCCAAATGCAAACACGTAGCCTACAACGTCTCCTTTCTGATTTTTTTCAAGTAATGACAATTCCATGCTCTACTGAGATTTCATTTAAATTATAATCACGTGCCTTTGCCATTAAAATTTCTTATGTCGACTGTTTTTCAAGAACATTTTCATTCATTTTAACATTTTTAAATTGTTTAAATATACAAAAATTTCTTGTTGTTCGAAACATGTTTTTCTTATTCTTTTGAAATAATTTCTTTGTGGTTAAAATTATTAATTACAAGTTTTGAATTTTCTTCAACATGATGTGCTTACAGTTTCGTTCGGAAAGTAGCAATTGTAATATTTATGACTTTACTTGTGCGTGATTTTTGTTCCGACACTATGACTTGGATTTTTTTCATCCCCTAAGAAAATCGTCATTTCCTGTCGTCAACTTAATACTCAACAGACATTTTCTACAGTGTTTCTTAAGGTTAAGATTACAACAACATAAAAAACATCGCACCGTAAAAAAGCGATACTCGCGTCGTATTCAAACATATGTAGAAATGCATTTGTTGTTCATTCATCACTTGATGTTCTTCTACACCATCTGACCATGAATGCGTTTGGAGTTCCAAAACATCTATCGATACTTCAAGCAGCCATTTTCCATTGAGCTTTGGATTTCCCACGCAACGACACTCATCTCGAATGAAGAAATATTCATAAAGATTGTAAAAGTTTTCTCTTTGAGTTTCTTTTTCGCGTGGGCGAGAAAAAAGGTGGAGATAAAAATCATTCGAGTCAATAAAAAAACTAAAAAAAGATTTACAACAAACAGAAAGAAAAAAAAACTTCGAGGAATAATCTTTTTAAGGCGGAGATAATATTTCTTGAAGTAATGACTCTTCAAGCATTTCTCATAATTTTTCTCTTTCCCCAGCTAAAGCGCTTTTGATTGCTCGTCAAATATTTAATTAAATAATGAACTACAAGATTGAGAAAACTCAAAAGTTCTCTTTTTGAAATGTATGTTAAAAAATTCTTGTTTGTTTTATAGCCGCTAGACGCATTCTTGTTCTTAGATCCCAACTAGAATTTCAAACCAAACAAATATTTTATAAAAACAATGAAAATGGAGCAAAAGATTTTCTTGAAGTTTATTTATATAAAATAAAAAAATGTCTGAGAACGGGAGATGTACAAAAAGGAATCAGACAAATTGCCGCTTTTTTAACCTTCATTTGTCTATCTTGGTTCTAAGGTAGCAGAAATTAATGATTGTGAAATTTAAGACGAAATCTTTCTCTTGAGGATTTAGTGTCTGAATTGATGGTTGATTCGTGGGTCAATTTCCTGTTTAATATTACTATTTGATCAAGAATATAAATGTAGAAAGAAATCTTGGAAGAATCTTTCATCACATTCACTTTATATGAAAATCAATTGTTGACCGCATTCAAAATAATTTCATAAAATTATCCACCCCCGTACATGGCACGATCCGTAAAATTCTATATTTATTCAATTAATCTACATTAAAGCAATTCAACAACATTTTTTATAAATTATTTGTTTTCTTTTTTCAAATTTCAGTGTAGAGCGATTCTACTTAAATTAAAATAAATTCAAATAAATAAATTTACTTTACATGCTCGTCTTGTCGCATAATTAGTCATTTCCGTTTTTCGTCTGTTTAATGTTCTCCAACTTCATCATACACATACAATTATTATTTATCTTTTTTCTCGTCATGAATGACTTTGTAAGTGAATCCATCGAATGTACAACATCAGTTTTAAATTAATACATTTTGAAGTTTTTCGTTGAAACTCCAACCTTGAAAAAACAAATCTTCAAGTTTTTCACGCTTAAATTTCCACGAAATTTTTCATTCATAAAAATAAATTGTACGTTCATTAATGGATTATGAATGAAAATTATAGTTTTCGTCTTTTTCATTTCTTCCCCCGCTTCAAGTCGCCTTTGATCTTATACCGTTCGCGACTTAACACAAAACAAGAAAAAACCTTTTGAAAAATTATCGATTTAGAGCTCGAACTTCGTGAAATTACTTTTTGTGAATGGAACTTTATGGATGTTTATGAATGGAGGTTTAAAGTTTGTAGTTTTAGTGTGTGGACAAGGAGTAAATATTGAATTTCATATTCATTCGTTTACAATTAAACAGCGGGACAGAAGAATGACTCAAAAGCTTTCTTTCGGCAGGTCTAAAAATATTTTTCGTGATCATTCTCACTACTCCAATTTCTAATGTACGATCGAATTTCATCAAAGAAGAAGTTTGGACAGGAAGTTGAGGAAAAAAATTGTTTAACGTAAAGAGAATGCAAGGAACTACTTTCATTCGTCTTTGAGACGTCGAATAAAAAGTTGAGTTACTCAAGCGAATGCTTAATCTCGCGAAAAGCCTTCGTTAATTAAATCAATTAATTAGCGAATTAAGAAATGTCCAAATGAATGGAAAGAGAAAGACAAGAACTGACAAAGATACCGTTTAATTCTCACAAAGATATTTAAATAGCATGAAAGTCGATTGAAGTGCGATGGAGAGATCTTTAAAAACAAACACAATTTTTTCTTTCTTTCTCCTTTTGCGATTAGTGTTTCCCGCCATTTATGATTTCCCGACAAGTGCAAAGTAGAGAGACAACTTTAATTTTTTATTATTATTTCATTTCATAGATTTGCATAATGAGAAGTCAACAATCACACGTAGATTAGATACATGTACAATGATTTAATTAAAAGGTGGACATTTTACAAGTCAGAGGAAGTTTGCTAGAGTTGTTTAACTGCAAAGACGAGTTATCAATCCAGGCATTGCTAAATCGCAATGAAATGCGTGTGAATAATTTGATTTCATTTGCAACTAGCAACTAAATCAAATAATAAATTCACAATAATTTATCCGATCAGGTTTCGAGGTGTTTTCGTTTCCGAAGGCTTTTTTTCTGTTGAATTGGTTGGTTCGCAACAGTCTTACGGGATGATAAAATAAAACACTCAGGTTTGCTACAAATATCTTAGCAAACGCCACGACAACAGAAACTTCATTTTATTGAATGTCATGAATGATAGAAAAAAAAGCTCCAAAACTAAAAATCTGAATTGCAAATGAGAAAGAATCTCCAATTCCAATCGTCTTCGAGACTGATAAATATAAACATTTCCAATTAAAATAGTCGCGAAACCAAAAATAAAAGAAGAAAGATGAATGAAACATTGACGGGATCGTTCAAAAGAAGAGTTTCAGGTTATCTCGTTTCAAAACAGAATTTCACATTTTTATGAATGAAATTTCAATGTTGATTGCCCGATTTCTTTTCCTCTTATGTTCTTTGATGTGTTTTCTTCGGATAAGTTTACCAACAGCCGAAAAAACCTGTTTGTAATTTCATTCGCAAATCTTACTTATTCAAAATTATTTGCTTATATTTTCAAGCTTTTTTACTTTTTTTTCGAAGGTTGAAAAGTTCGTACTCATACATATTTTACAATCAACTCAATCACTACTAACGAGAAGCTTCAATTGTTGCTTTGAGTGGTTTTTAAATAAAAATTTGAAAGACTCTTAGAATTGTTGATAGTTTCGGATTGAAAATGGACAACGAAAATCGATTTCTTTTCATTGCCTAGAGGCACGAAACTTTATTCATGTGTAAACGTTAGAAAGTTCAGAACCGTCATCGTTCATCAGAATCGCCTTTTTTTTGTACATCTCAGATACGATCTTCTCAATTTCGCATGAAGATCTTTTACTCTGACCATTTATGAATGAACCACATAGAACGTTGTGAAGAATATCGAGTACATCCTGTTTACGTCTTCGTCATCCGGTCACTTGGGGTCTTGAGGTTCACCGTCATGTTCTTTCTCCTTGAATGTTTCTTGTTGCCACCGTTAGACTCATGCGCGTAAACTTGCTGTTTTATGAATGAAAAACTACTCCGAGAGGAAGTTGAGACTTGGAAGTGTGTATCTCGATGATCATCTTAATTTCGCTATTAATTCATTGATGGGCTTGCCGTGAAAACCTGTTTTAACCGAGATCAATGATCAAATGAATGATTTGGCGCCAATATTTCCATCCCTGCTGTTTAACAAATTCATTTTTAATTAAGTTGTCCATTAACATAACAGATAACGGATGATTCTCTTTCTATTTCTATTTTCTATTCAGATGCAACTTTAATAATGATTTGATATTAAATCGATTAACTTCAACAGTGAACACATTTTTTGGTTGGTCTCAAATTAATCAAAAGAATCATAAAGATAATGTAAATTATTTCTTCGTTTAATCCTAAACATAACATCGCTTATCTTATTGAAATCGTTTTGAATTCATTCATTATTCGAAATCGTTTCCCAAAAAATAAAAAAGCATTATTTATGTCAAAAAACATTAATAAAAATATCTTGCTTAATGAATTATAAAAACATAGCAAAAGCAGCATCGACAATCTTTCATCTAAAAGAGAGAAAGAAAAACAGATTTTACATTTATTTATGAATCGACTCGTGGGAATTTCAAGAGATTCGGAGGCAGAAAGACGGAGAGACAGATAAATGTAAGAAAACAACTACTTATCTGATTTTTCTTTAGATATTTCTCGTTTTCTTTCATATGCGACCGTCTTATATTCGATATTTTAATCAGAAAACAATTTTTTTTGCCAATGCGAAGATAAAAGCAGAGACACACAATGTTGAATGAAGAGAGATCAGTGAATGAGGTGGAAGAAATATCAGAAGCAAGATTAAAACTCCAAGTTGTTGTTGCCAACTGCTTTTCCAAGTTTCCTGATCACTATGTCGACCATTCTCATTTAGTTACTAACGAAGTATCCATTCATGATGATCAATTGAAGTAATTTTTCATTTATAGCTTGTTGTAAATAGCTTCTATTCTCAGATAAACAGCTCGAGCCTCGAGGTCATGTCAGTGAATTAAAAATTATTTTTCATTCTTTCTCTCTCACTCTTGAGAATTTGTATTCGCGTAGTAAATCTCTATTTGCGCATATTAATTACGATTCATGTTCAGGCCAGGTGGTGATCATAAAGATATCGAAAGAAAACAATTACTGGCATTAACAGCACCGCGCAAATTGTTGTGAGTCTGTATTGGGACTTAATGGAGAATTCATTGATGAAATGATCGAATCGTGTTAAATATTGAGGTGATTAGAAATAAAGAAGAAATTTTTCGATCGAAAACGATCGATAATCAGTAGCTCAATCGTCATCAATAAACAAAGTAAGAAACAGCAGCAAAAACGAATTAAGATGCTTCATTTCTTTTTATTTCTGTCTCCTGCTAAGTTTTGCTTTATGAATGACTCTTAATAGGCAGCTTGACGTAGATTAATTCATTCAATTTTCATCCATGAACCCGAAATAAAGAACTCATAAAAATTCCTGTTTATGCAGCAAGGAAACCAGCGACTAGCAAGCATCACATGAAGGTCCACATCACAAGAGTCATTAAAATGAAATTACAATTTTTCATAAATCAGTAATTGGATTACAGAAACCTGCACTTCACTTCATATGAAGAATGCTTACGGGGTTCAGTTGCTTTGCATGAAATATCGATTCATTGTCAAGCGTAATTTTATGTTTAAACAGGCATAAATTATGCAAAAACTGAAAGTAGAATTATTTTAAATCGCTAGTTTGTATAATGTCAAGCTCGAACTTCCCTGCCAATGAGAAATTGAAAGTTTATCAATAAATAATTTTTTTAAATTAACTTTTAGAAATTTAAAATTCTCGAAGGGCACGCGTCACTTGTCCACGATGTCGCGTCACTTTTCAACGTGATTTGCATTCTTTAACTTCTCGTAACTTTCTCGTTTTTTTAATAATGTCTAAGTGCTCGAAAAGAGAAGCATTGAGAACATAAACTAAAAGCTTTTAAATTTATGATGGGCTCTTTGAGGTTGACCGGAGATTAGCCATTAAAACCGTTTAAACTCTGCCCACATTCAATCAGTGGATGTGAAATCATTCAATGGACAATTTCTTACTTTTTCGCTAAGATCAAATTCGTTTACTTCTTCTTAAACACGTTAAATGTTTTGTCATAAAAGTTAAAATTTTGATGATTAAAGAAAAAGAATTTTGAAGTTGTAAAACATACCAAACATCAGAACTGCACTTTTATTTTAAGTTAACAATCCGTCACTTACTTATTCAACTGTTTTGACTACCAACTCAAATAAACTTGCTGTTAACGATCGGATTTATTTCTCATAAATCCAAATTTCTCATTAAACTCCCTTCGTCACTCACTTTCTCGTTCAACATGTCGCATTAAAGAAATTTATTTCAATTGTTTTCTTTATTCGATTACTTGACATTACATTGAGAAGAAGGGAAAGACAAGACCGAAAAAGCTACAAAAAATTTACGATCAGTCATGTCGTAGCCATGCCAAGTGTTAACTGTTAAAGAATCCAAATCACGTCGCTGCGTCAATAAGAAGATGACGAAAAAAAAACGAAATTGAATGCAGTCGCGTTGACATGATTATGTTGCATTATTTGTCACATCAATAACGAAAGAAAATAAATAAATGATCGAATACTTCTTACCCTTTCTGGTCTTGTCTTATTTAGTTTTGTATTTATTATTTTAAAGATATTTAACATGCGAGACGCGTGTTGTTCTCCTTCCCTCCTTGTTACCCTGACGCAAGCAATCGAATGTTGATGTGAGAAAGTCTTGTTTGGTGGCAATGAAAAATTTTCTGATTGATGATGGATTTATATGATAGACTTCAACTTTAATAAAAATTAACCACTTCCTCGCTCACTCCCGTCGTTCATACGATCATAAAACTTCATTCAGCGTGTGTCGCTTCATTAATGCATTTTTTGTCAAAACGTGTTCCACAAAAAAGCAGAAAACTAAATTAAGAGAATGCAACAAAGTGTCAGTAATGTCAATAAATGCAGTTTTTGAGTGCATCTCGCGAACCGCGATAGTAAATAAATAATAAAATGAAATCACGAGAATTAATTGCATCAAACGACAGAACGAACATCAAGTGAATAAAAAGCTACCGAAAATCGTTACATAACAGAATTAATTAAGCGAAGTAGCTGACATCGTTATCGTTATTTAATCGCAACACAATTATTTAATTGCATTTCGACCTCGTTGATGTTGCAGTTGAATTTTGCTTCATCATTTTGACGTCGCAGGAAATAAGTTTGATGTTCACAGAACTACAAGGTGGGCAAAGTAACAAACACTGGATGAGTTCTAAAGAAACTTGCAAAAAAAAAACTCAACGATAGAAGTGTCTTAGAAATATTTCAGTCGTTGTTAACTCAAAATTAAAAAAAAAGTCATGAAAGAGAATCTCAAAGCTTGAAAAATTATTCAACGTAAGTAAACGGAAGAAACTAATTAGTGATATTACATGATTCTTCTTTTTTTGTACTCGCTTGCGTTATGTTTATTTAATTCAAGTCTTTGTCTTATTGTGATCTCTTAATCTCATCAGCATTATGCATCTTTGTAATTAATTCACGCAGTAATAGATTTAAATAATAATGAAGCAGATTTTTACTAGCCACCCCCACCCGCATAAAGAAGCGCGAGAAATGGAAGGATTGAAGATTCTCACAGTTAACTTCAATTTGGACACAACTTTATTGACTTAATTAAGCTGCGCTCTTCTTAATAACAACAAATATAATTAATTAACCAACTGACCCATGTCCATTCCCGATATTTCTTATAAAACAATTATTATTAATGATAATAACTTGTTTATGGAAGCTGAGTTTCTTCTTCAGATCTTTCTTTTCCTCCGAACTAAAATCAACTTCCGCTCACGTTCCAAACTTGTGTTAGTGCTTCTTGATTTCTTTAATTTTTTTTTATTATACAATTCATTCGAAAGCTATAAATATATGTCGTCAAGATTGAAGCAAAAATTGTAAACACTCAATTGATGAACGGAAAAATGAACAACGTATGAGATGCAAGTGGAAGTTGTGAACGAAGGAAAAAAAAGCACAGAACGGAAGCTGATACCGTACGATTCTTTTGATTTATTGCGCAATTTTTTATGGTTGAGGCGATGCAGCAACAAGCATACAGTCATTTGATTTTTCAATGTTAGGGCGAGACTTGTTGATCTTTAAATGTTTCGAGGGTTGTTCAAAAAGATTTTTATGCGAGGGTGGCAAACATTTTTCCGCTCTCCCGCCTTTGAAAGTATAACAAAAACAAACAGATTTATCGTAGCAAGTCTAAATTGATTGAAAACTCAATTTTGTATCCTAATGGATTCCTTAATTAGCCTCTTCACTTTGTTATCATCATTCGATGAAAAAATAAAAATATAAATAAAACCGCAGCCATCAAAAAAGTTGCAAGGGAAAACTTTACGTAAATAAACGCAGAAAAGAGAACTGAGAACCTTTTAATTGGAGTGAAAGAAATTATTACAGGCTATGCCTCGTAAAAATCATTAAAAAATTTGATTATGTCGTCATTCGTCGGTGCCGAGAGCGAACTTACGAGAATGAGATGGAGAAAGGCAAAAAACTAGTGGAAAAAGATCAAAGGAGAGGATTTTTATTGCATTTAAAAGAAAAAGAAGCGGAGAATGAAATCAAAAGACTTTTTAAAATAAATAGACATTGAAATAACCTCATGCACACAAATAATTTAATCAAATAATAAAATAATCTCAACTTCACTTCAAAACCTTTTTTCTTTCTTTTTTTTCTTCTCATCTCCTTTGTAATTTTGACCCGAAAATTTTCTTTTTCTTTGGTTGAAGGGAGGGAAAATGAGTGAAAATTTATTTAGAATTAATGAGTAAGACGTGTCATGAAAAGTTAATTAAAGTCTTTTATGTCTACAAGATTTTCTTCTTAAGCTTCATTTGATGATTTCAACTTCTGCAAAGTTTCCACTCCCTTAACCACAACATATAATTTTAATTGTTTTTTAAATGTCTTCGCGCAATATCAAAAGATTTCTTTTCAGACTCTTTTTCCGTGTTTTTAATTTCATATAAACAAAAAAAAATTCTTATTGGGAAGTTTTTCAAACAGCTTTGAGAGAAGAAACTTTTGTGGGCAAATAAAAAGTAAAAGATTAAAAGATTATCGCGCGTTTGATTTTCATTGCTGACCGGAGGGAATAACGAGAAGCTGAAACATGTTTTGAGAGATTTTTGATTGTGATTGGTAAGAGATAAACAGAAGCAAGACTTTGACCAGGTGGTAATGAAGGTGAATATTTAGTTTTCAAGTTAAGAAAGCTATTGCTGACATTTCATTAGAATGCATGAAATGCTTTTCATCAGATTTAGACGAATAATTATTTAATTTAAACATCTCATCTGTTTTCTGTAACTCTTCTTTATGATCATTTGAAAAGTACTTTAATGAAATCAGAAAAAGTCGTCAAAACAATCATTGAATAAATATTGCGAAAGTTGCATCGAAAGGTTTTTCTTTATAAAACCAAAACCAAAATAAAAGAAAAACTTTGAGATTGAGTTCATTTAAAGTCGTAAATTGTATCTCAATTTTCAAATAAACAATCAATAAAAATGTTAAATTTATTTATATTTCCCTCTGCTGGAAAGATTATTACACATTTTTAATTTCTTTATTGCTTCGAAAAGAAACAAAACACGCAAAGGAGAATGATCGCTCAATCGTCTGATGTTATGGATCTTGACTTGTGTTTTAAGCAAACACAACGCGGAATGAACTTTTTATTTATGGATGAAGAGGGAAAAAGAATTTTCTTGCGGCATTGCAATGAAAACCAAGCTGTCTGTTTGAAGATGTTCAGTTTTATCTTATAATTGTTTGCATTGTGTGTTGAGTTCCTTTCTTTATGAAGATACTGAAAGTTTGTATGGAAAATGTTTTAAAAGGACAACAAACATTTATAATTGAGTGCGAATATTAAAACTGAGGTTTCTTACTCTTATTGAGAGTGCAGTGAAAGATTTAATGAAAGTGTTTGATTGCTTTCAGTCTCACCCAGAACTGCAACCTGCTTTTGAAGTGAACTTATAAACACGACATTTAAAATACAAAATAAAAAGAAATGAACGCAACAAGCTCATGTAAATATTTAATTAGAAAAATAATAAAGTCATAATAATTTTTCACATAATTTGATTTCAAGTCGAGGAAAGCACAATTTCATCTCAAGATTTGTTTATTTGATAAAATGCCGAGAACAAGAAAAGATTCTCAAAATATTCTTTTGAAAAATGTTTAACGAGAAGAAATGAAATCTGGCGAAAAACGGGAAGAGGAAGTGCATGAAAAATGAAAAGAAAACTTGCATCGAATGACTCTTTCTTCAGTCGATGCCGCACGAAAAATGGAAAGAAAATAAATTCAAAAGAAAGTAATTGAGAAATCACGAATTAACAGAGAAAATCAAAAGAATATTTAAAAGCATGAAGGAAGTTAATTGAAGAATTTATCATTTTTCTTCTTTAAAGTTAACCGAGGAAAATGGAAAAGCTGAAAAATATTTTCTTTTTCTTCTTTTGCTACATTTGATTACGTGTCAATTATTATGTCATAATTTACGACCGAAGTGAAAGAAGAATGAAAGAATAAATATTTGGTTAATTAATTGCTTCCCTCGCAAACAGAATTTTCCCACAACAAATAACAAAAACTTCAACAATTGATCTTTGATCAATCGACGATTGGTTGAAATGCATCTGTTCATCAACCGAATCAGCTCATTTTAATTCGTTTCATTTTTACACTTCGAAAGGCTTTGAAGCTAATCGATTTGTTTCGGCTTCAACCGTATCAACATTAAATGACAACGAACGTTAAATTCAACAATTAACTTCTACCAAAATTGTGTAATCGTTCATCAGTCAATGAAAACTTCTGTGAACTTTCAAGACTCCATTTTGAAAGTCTCTAAACTGTTGTTGTCAATTGATGCGACAAATGGAATGGAAAGAGACATGAAAGTGATTGATTTTGAATTGTAAAGTGAATGTTTTGCAATGGTAAGTAAATAACTTAACACTTGCTTTTTCATTTTAGAAATTGAAATTGACAAGATCATCTTGCATAAGTAACAAATCAAAACTCAATTTCAGCGAACTGAATGAATTCCAATGAAAAACAACATTAAACAAACTATAAATTTTCTCACTTTTCATTCATTCAATTAATTTTAATTTGATCCGAAAGAATTTTCTTCAATCTCTCGCTTAGTATTTTTTTATTTTCATTCGATGGAATCATCAGACACACAATCGCCAACTGTTTATAATTAATTTTATGTGGCGCAGAGCTTTTCCAGATATCAAGAATTTTTCCCAAATAAGTCGAGGATTCTAAACTAGCAATAAAACCCGCAATTAATTGATGTATAAAACGATTCTTTCCCGTCCAAAATTGGATCAGTTTATTTGACAAAAGCCAGAAGATGCAAGCTGACTTAAGCGCCGTGGCTTCCATCGAATGATTATTACAGTTTGGAAAATTAATTGTGTTCCCGTCGATGATACGCTGCTGGAAGTCGTTGAAAGTCTTCAATTCCATGATCGTTTTACAACTTTGAAGCAAGTTTCATTCAGAAAACTGCACACAGTAGATCGAAATCTCACCGCGGTCATAAATTAATCAACAGCACAGGTGAGCAGAAAAAATTCTTAACCACATACGAGAGCTGGTGGTGATTGTCAAAATACAACAAAAAATCTTTCTCGTTCATATTAAAGCGCGAGAAGATTGCGATTAATTAACTTTGGTGAGTTGTATTAATCGATTGCTATTTATCACCTTAATCGATATGTTGTGTAACGATTTAATGATGAGTTCATACAGCAAACAAAACTTTTCAATTAATTTCACTTCTTACTTTATCCCCTGCTTTAGTCTAAACATTTGAATACGACTTCTTGTTACACCTCGCAGGCATTTTGACTTAAACAAGAGAAATTTTTAGGATTTTCACCTTCGGCATTTAATTAAAAATGTCACAAAACTTCCCATGTGGAAAATCGTGGAACTTTCATTATTAAATTTTAGAAAGGGAATTTCTTTAAAAGTAAATATTGAAATGTTTGAAGTGTTTGAAGTTCTTAATCATTCAAATTGTGGAAAATTCTTTTTGTGTTAATTTTCAATTTACAATTTCAACATAAATCTTGACAGTCAAATTGATCATTTCATTCTCATTTGAGAAACTAAACAACAAAATATAAAAATATGAAATTAATGGCATGATCATCAGTCATTCCACCACCTGACTCAACAAAGTATTGTTCTTAATTTTTCTACCGCCTGTGGAAATGAACCATTTATTTTTCGGTCGTCAAATTATCTTCTGCTTTGGTCGATTTCATGACTTTTAATGATTTAATCGCTACAAGATTTTTCCATCTCTCCCGATTCACCTTTGATGGTGTCGAACATTTCAACAGATAATCATTTTCAATTAAGAATGAAAGAATAATAAAAAAATGTAAATTTGATGACATGATGAAGTTAACACACATTGGCGTCCATCACACGCTACATGAACATTTTCCTTGGTATTCTTTGCCGAAAAACTGTTAGAAACTTGTACTTGATGACCCATTCTAAAGCTTAATAACTTAATTTACGCCAAAGCAAGACATTTCTCCATCTTTCCACACCTGGGTGAAAGACACATCCGAAAACTTTAATTGAAAATCATCAAGAAGAAGAGAAAAGAGAGCCATCAACAAAATAATAAATTATTGTCATGTAATTACTTCCTGTATTTGAAATGTTCGGTTCTAACGCGCTTCACTTCACTTGCGGTCCGCTATGTTTACTCTAAAGAGTTTGACGATTGTTGAGATTAGGGTGAAGTGATGTAGAATGAGATAAGTCACGAGAAAGCAAAGAATCTTAGTGAGATTCATCAGAACTCACAGAAGTAAATCACAGAATATTTATCAAAGTGAGTGAGGTAAAGCCCGGAAGGTGTTCATAACAAGCTTACGCATGAGTTCAACATTTGAAATCGACAAACCGCAAAATTTCTCATCTTAGACAAAAAGCTGAAAAATTCAACATGTCAATTAATAAAATTCCTCATTTTTCCCACACACAAGCCAAAATAATTATTTTTTCTTTCTTGACCAACAATAATAAAGAAAATTTTGAGTCGAAGAGACTTTAAAGTAATCACCGCGGGACGGAACTATTAATGACGAGCCAATTATATTATTTGATTTCTTAACTCGATTTTCTTTTCACTTCCAACAAGAAATTTCTTTTCTCTCGTTTTCGCTCGATTGTTATTCTCGATAGGTGCGGGAACTTTTTTTTATTTCGGGATGATTTTCTCGACCGTTTTTCACATTAATTCCGCATTAAAAGAAGCACTAATTTGATTATAATTTCAGTAGCTTAGCTTCTTCCAATTGAAAGTCCAAGCATCTCTAATGACATCATTTTCAATTCATTCCTTCGTTGCCTTTAAGCTGTTTACTTTCCTCCTCAAAATTAGCGTGTGAATTCTATTCAAATTTATTTAATAGGCAAAAGATGCGAAAAAACATGCTTAATGAGTAACATAAATTAAAATTACCTTTCAGAGTCGCTGAACACCCCGACGAATAAATAAATTAACGGCCTTAATGACCAGTCTCACTCAAAGTTCTAAGCTCGCATGTAATGAGTGACAAAATCGACTTTAAATTCTTCAATTAAAAAAACCTACGTGAGTCAATTCGACTCACTCCAACAACCCTCATCGAAATAATTTCTCTTCAACCCCACATAAATATTTGTCTACCGATATGGAAATTATCCCTTAAAAAATACTTGAAAAGTCAGAAACTCCCGAAGGCCATTTGTGTTGTAAAATATTTCCCACGCCTCATACATGTGTAACCATTCACCTCACTCGATATCAAACATCAACATTATTTTTATTATTTTTATTCTCTTCATTTGAGTTTTTAAAAAGTTGCTTTTTTATGTTCGCTCGCCTTTTTATTTCACGTATGAAAAAATTATGCACCTGCATTGAGAGATACGCGTTAAACATCGTTGAATCGGTTTCTGTGTAAAACGTGCATTCGTAAATGCGAAAGAAGTTAATGCTTTTACATGTGAGATATATTATCAAGGTAAATTGATCAAGGGGTGGATGTTTTAAGAAAAGAAATGGGAAAGAGAACATTTCATTAACAATTCTTTCAATGTTTCACTCCCTTTGTCATCTCATCATGCCTCAAAGGATAAATAAAACACAAGATTCAACGTTTTCATTGACGCACAATCATATATTGTAAATCATATATTCTTCAATGATTGTTGCTTTGAGCTTGAGAGTCAATTTAAAGCAATACATATTAATGTTGTTACGAATGAGAAGCGAGATTTATGATAACGTGGAAAACCAGTTCCTGAAACTCGAACCTAACCATTTGTTGTTCTCCCGAAATTAAATTAAGAGAAAAAGAACATATAATCAGTAATCAGTTTTATGTGTTTTGAAACAACACAATCGTTAACTGTTTGTTAGTGAAACTTGCAGAAGCGACCGAATCGAGAACGTTTTCTGCGCCTCACCGCGTCACATCTCACAATCGGTCATCGCACGTTTATTGTTTAAAATCAAAACACAGAAATGAAATTAAAATCATAAAACACAATTTACATTTTTCATGTGAGTAATGACCGAAGCAGTCAGCAAGCAGTAGAATCATTCAAATGTATGAAGCATTAGTGATTAAAAGGTGGAAGCCGTAAATTTACATTTTACAGCTCAACCTCGACTATAAAGTTGTGAATTTCTGGGAAGCTTAAAAGCTTTTATTTAAATAAAATGCGATTGTGCCATTGAGTGTCGTGAATTTGTATTTACCACCTCCCGCTAACGCCACACAATACATGTGTCAACCAAAGACCTACCATGACCACCAAGTGTTAAATACTCCCAAAAATAACATAAAGAATTAATTAATTTATCGTTCTGACAAAATCTCTAAAAACAAAATGTTCAAGTTGAAAAAGTTTCTCGATTGTTACTTTTTTTTTTTCGTTTTAATTCATTTCATTGCCATTGTCGACGTAAAGAACAAAAGAATTGTGTAAAAATTACATTTAAACTTTAATTAATATTATTTTATGTATGAACATATATTGAGTTAAATTATATGTTTTATGTTGATATGTGTTACGATATTTAGTTTATGTTAATTCGAAGTCAATGATAATTTGACATAAAAAGTCACAAAACTTTTCAATTTCATTTGCAAACTTGAGTTGAAAATGAGTGTGAAGAAATCTTTGACAGAATCAATTATAATTTATTATCAAGCACATTTTAGAGTTTTCTTGTTTAAACATGAGATTATGTGGCATTTAGTTTCGGCCACATTGACCACTGATGCGAATATCCGGACCATCTTTCGCCATGCAAGCGATTGTTTTGGTTGTTTAGCCTACCTAAAAGCAGTTAAAGCTTCATAAGCCATATGTGAGTGATTGTCTCAGACATCTTATGATCCATCCGACTGCTGCCTTTTCTGCGTAACCGAAGGAGGCTCCAACGTTTAGTATTTACTTCTTTATTGATCGACTAAATATCAATTTCCGTTCACAGTTTCGCTTTTTTTTTCTTAAAGACGCTCGCAAGTTTCTTTCTCTTTTATATCTTCCTTTTTTTCTTCTGCATTCGCCACGCGACTTTTTTCACATCATCGATGTGTTCTTTCGGGCTCAATTCAAGTGTGTTGAGAAACGGAAAACCAGATTCACTTAACTTCTTCTTGTTTTCATATTTTACCATCACCTTTCTTGTTGCTGCTGTTCTTTCAATACAAGTTTGAAATTTTATTATCCAACCAATTACTGTATTTAAATCGAAGGCAAACGAGAATAATCCTCATTCATGACTTGCGTCTTTTGATTTCAGTTTTACGCTTCACTTTTTATGTGGAGTACAATCGACTTGTTAGTTAATAGATCGAGGTAGCAGGTGATTATGAAATTATTGAAGTAGGATTATTTGTTAGAGAACAAATTGTTCTGGATTGGAATTGAGAAATGAATTAAATGTTTTCAAGCGCCATGTTCAAACTTTCTTATTTTCTTTTTCTTTTTTATCAACCACAATGAATCTTCATGATTATAAATCTTAATTCGCGAATGACAAAAACAAGATGAAATGACAAAACCAAAAGATTTTTTATTAAATCCTTTTCCATGTCTTCAATGTTCATCCAAAAATGTTCTGATTCAAGGTTGATATGAATCTTACTGGATGATATTGATTGAAGTTTATTGACATGTGATGAGAATGGGATGAAGTCAAATTATCGGCATTAAGTTTCATGTTTCACTTACGACTTACATCGTTTCATAACTTTCGATTGACTTAAGCAAAACCAACATCCGTCCAACCAAAGATAGACATCTCAATATTCCACAAAAATAAAATCAATTTCAAAATTCTCAGATCAATCTCGCACAAATTTGAACCACATCAAATTAAATCCTTCGTTACCAAAAAAAAAAATAAAAACCCGTTCGTTGTCATATTTTGAAAACATAAATTTTACATTCACAATCGTTTCGTTTCTGTTTTTTCCATTCATAAATTCAATATTTTTGTTTGAATGGGAATGGTCAATGAGAAATAGGAAGAGAGAGAAGAATATCAAACACGATCATAAGCTAGAGTAAAGTATATTGAATAAATAATTCATCCAATTCAAATGTAAATTGTTTTCGCGGCTATCCATTCGATGTTTTGCATATTTTTCGCTCTTCTCTTTTACCATTTCTAAAAATTCTATTTTATTATTATTTGCATAAAATTTTATAACATTCGAAGCTTTTATTTGATTCTGAACGCGACGCTATTGAATATCACTAATTTAGAAGTGGGCTGATAATTGATGAACATTATTAGTCAATACATCAGACACTATCGATCGTGATAATGATTTAAATTAGTTTCTAAATTATTCACAAAACACATTTTATTCGTTTCGAAGACAAACGACAATACTAAACTTTAAATTTAAAAGCGCCATCTCGTGTTCGGATATTGAAGTAAGATAACCTTGTTGCATAACTTTAAGGGGTTTTTAATCAATTGCGGGTGGTTCGCAATTTGCTACGATTTCGAGGTGACTTGTATTTGGCTAAAGACCCTACTTAAGTTTAATCTCTTTGGTGATAGCGTTTTATGATTTTATGACATGATTATAATATTCTCGAACATTGAAAAATCCCCAATCTTCACCACAAAAATGAATGACCTTTATCGAATAAAATTTTCAAGGTTGCTCTTAAATGATCGTACATAATTAAAGTCTCTCAACATCATGTCATTAAGGTTTTCTCTTCTTAATCTTCGTGTTCATTGTCCGTTGTAAAACCTTTTCTTAATGTCCAACAAGAACGGTAACATTGTAAAGCCGCAACCTTTAAGCGTTTAAACTTTTTCATTCATTCAATTTCTCTCATTCTCAGTTGATTGGAAGTTAATTCAGAAAGAACTTTAAGCCTAATTCAATCTTCATTTCTTTTGTTTTAGATGAATTTACATTCAACGAAATCATATTAATTATCTTTTAATGTTGGGACCCTCGTCAGAATATTGGAATGCATCAGCTACATGTATAAATGGATCATACTTAAGTTAATCCTCTTTTAAGTTACGCACCAATTGACCAAATGATTAAAGAATTTCAAGTTCTCTTGTGCATCACGTCATTTTTAATTCTCATTTGTTTTTTTGATAGTTTATGTATAAAAATAATAAATGTTGTTCTTAATGTCTTCATAACGCCTTTTAAGCGTGACCAATCAAATGAAATATAATTAAAAGAATAACTAATGGTACTCACCCAAAGATTCTTCAGACAAGTCTGACAAGCTTGGCACTTTATGAAAGTTTCTTGGTCCATCTTCTGGTTCTTCCTTAAGCAATATTGGTGGTTCTCCTTCAAAACCCTTTTGAGAAATGTCAAATAAAAAATTATTAGATAACAAAAAATTAATTTGATACTTAATAATAGAAAGTGAAACAAATGAAAAGTGAGATTAAATACTATGAATGAAGTTCATTCATCAAATTACTCTGAGGCTACATTTTATAAAAAAAATGATTCTAGTTCGCATTTCAGGTTGTAAAGATGTTTATAATTTTCAGTCACGTTTCATATCAGAATTTTTTCTTATTAGCTTTCAATGTGGCCTTCGGCACAGGAAGCAATTTTACATTCAAGTCGCTAATTTGTCTTTAAGAAAATATAAAAGTCTTCTTAAGAAAAATGATTATTGCATGTTGCAACTAGATAATAATTTTATTATTTTTTTTTATATCCATAACATTACGTTATCAGTTGCAAGTAATTTACGTAAGTCGACAACGATCGCTTAATTCACGTACGTTGCTTACGTTTTGCTAGCTGCTTCAAACTTTCAAGAATTCAGTTTTATTATACGAAAAAGTATGAAAAATTAAACTCCAGGGAAGCAAATTTCAATTGCAAACATGCGACAAACAATGGAACTAATTACCTTTATAACATGACAAACGAAAAAACAGGTAGAAGAACTGCAATTCCATAAAAAATTTAATGGACAGAAAAAGATAATAAATTAAAAACCTAAAAGTTGAAAAGGTTCAATGCGTTCAACTCGGAATTGATGTGGAACCAGCAGGAAGTTTTATGAAGTTTGTATGTTACGATTTATGAACAAAATAATATTTTTGGTTCAATTCCCTCATCATCAAGTGCAGTGAGTGAATGCCACCTAAGTTTAATTAACAAAAATTCAAATTTCATGTCGACATGTGAAATGTGATCGCACCCAGACACGACATTAAACAATGGAGGGAAGGGATTCAGTGATCCCTGGATGTGAAGTAAAAAATCGACCACCAAAGCACGATGTGAATCCCAGAACTCTACTCAAAGTTCTTCAGAAAAAAAAGAAGATTTTCCCTCAGCTCTTCTAATTTCAATCAACATTCAATGTTGAAATTCGATCATGTGAATTAAGGAACCTGTTCATAAAGGGATAAAAAGAATTTGAAGCTATTGACAGGGAAAATATGAAGCCACCGAAAAAAAGTGTCAAATTCCCAAAATTATAACTCATTTAATTTTTTTCTCAATATTTATTTAAAATAAATACAAAAATCTTTTAAATATTAAAGAAAAGGAAAAAAAGTTTCATCTTTTGACATCGCAAATGAAAAACGGTAATTTGCCTGGATTTTGTCACCGTCGAATGAAATAAAAAACTTATTGAAACAGCCGATTATTAACCATTCGTATTGTGTCATAAAACTGTCTGTTGCACAAAATAATGAAGTCACAACAGTCCCGCAGATGGGATTGCAACTCTCATTTTCATTCTCTTCTGACAGCAAACATCGCTAAAAACACTCAAAGCTTGATCATTATTAAACAATAAATGAAGTGAATTGAGAACAGTTGGGAATGTTTAGAACTTGTAGGAAGACATTCACAGCCCTCATTCATATTAATTTAAACATTTTCAGACAAATCAATTTTCTCACCAGTCTCTGGCAATTTTCTTTCTTTAAAAATAATAAGTAATTTTCTCGATGAAAAATCCTCATCTGTTTACAGCTCACAACAAATAATAAAAGACTCAAAACGACAAGAAGATCATTTTTTACTTGTTTTAATTTTTTGAAGCTTGAAGCGCGAGGCGAAAAGTAAATTTTGTCAAAATATTTATGACCTATCCAGGGGAAATCTTTTTTTTATTTACAAACAAACGCTCTCGAATAAGATTCCTGAAATGCAGAATGTCATATCAGGGAATTAATGATAATTAATTTGTGCATCTTTTCTGTGATCAGCCGATGAACTGTGATAGATATAAATTACTGAGCATTGACGATCGGCAAAAGTCTCCACTACAAAGAGAATCTCGTAATTACTTGTCAAAATTTATAACTCATCGTGATTTTTTCCAAAAGCAGAACGTCATTTAAATATGTAAGCAGTTGGCTACAGACAAATAAACAAAAGTCGGCGCTTGGAAGGTGTTTGAAATGTGTTACATTTGTTTTATTTGGACGTTTAAATTCTTTCATGAGATTTTTCAGAAATTCGCGTAGTTTTAATAGTAAACAAATACTTCTCGGTAAGTAGATTACGAACTTTATGTTGATCTGAGTAAAGCAAAGTCTTGTTGAAAACTAACAAGTCATGACGCAACTGCGGGTAACCACACAATTATTTCAAATTCATGATTTCTATGAATGAATAACACGCAACATTCGTTACTTGTACACTCATCACCCTTAAATCTACTCTTTGGCGATCTTCTTCTTTTGTTTCTATTTTTAAACGCTTTCAACTCCAGCAGATTTCATGATTTTATAATTTAAATCGTAAAAAAATTGAGTTTGGCGTGTTGAAAAGTTTTATAAACAGGGAGAACTGCCGCGATCACAGAAAACAAGAATGAACGCAAAGGCAAGTGACATTCAAACAAACAATTTTAGAATCTTTCGGGACAAGTCAACAACGAAGCGAAACTTATAAAGAAACCAGAAAATCAACACCAATGTGCACATGTTTTCATTCAACTTTCATAAATTTGCCATTTAAAATTCATTATGGATGATGACTTGGTGCAGTTTCAGATGTTCGCTTGTAAGTTGCAACTGTTCATCAAATCCGAAACTTCCAGCAATGCTATGCATAAAATTTTGTTATTTGAATTGCTTTGCTGGATTACGAAATGTCGTCATATGACAAAAATTGCAAGAAAAACATAAGAGAAACATTTAATTTTTAATTGTCACTGTCAATTGTGCGTTTATGACTGCGTGACATCGCACAATTTAAATTAATTGCTTTTCGCAAATAAACACAATTTCAATCATCGACGATGAATTTAAATATAGAAAATTTGCTGATATTTCTAGAACTGTAAATGAATTCAGAATTACAATGCAAAAGCAGAAGTTTTCATTCATTAAAAGTTTGAAGTTCTTTAAACGTTATTGAATTGAATGAGGGTTTATTACTTCTTTTCTTATTGAAATCTTCAATTATATTTTGGAATATCAATGGTCGTTGAAACAAATGAAGCATTGAAGCTTTAATGATATTTCATTTCATCAAATTCCAAAGAAAAATTTAAATATCAGACGAACTGTTCTCTGTTTTGTCCATTCCATCAATCTCACAACGAACCACGTAATCAAACTTTTAATTTGATATCATGAAGTTAAAAGTTCCTTTCTCGCTTGATTTCAACAGCAAGAATTCTCCATCAGTTACCATTTACAATGAAAAGATAAGAAACGAACAAATAAAATAATAAGCGGAAATTTCCTTTCATTTTTTATCATTTCGCCATCTCCCCTTTTCGCAACTACAATCGCGACAGAATTGTAAAAGTCAGTTTCATTCATAAATGTTTCTTTTTTTTCGTTTTCATTCATAAATTTTTTTTCTGTGGTTGTCTTCTTAACTTGCTTATTTTCTCGTAACCCAAACAAACTTCATGGAGTTTAATTGTATTTTGGTGTTATCATCAATGTTCGCTTCATGAGTATTTCTTTTATTCTCTCGTTATCGTTATGTAAGCTGACGAACGGTCTTTGGTCAATTGTAATTGAGCCCAAATAAATCATTCGTATCTTATCACTATATTCTGCCTTATTTTCTTATCACATTCTGACTTTTTGACAGTTGGTGTGCAAAATAATTTTTTCAAGAAAACGATCGTTGCTCACAAACGACCTTACATAATTTCAGCTTTCTCAAAGTTTCTTTACGTGATCCTATTCATCCAAGATTTAGCACAATGTTGTTTTTAAGTTCCACATGAAATATGCGTCAAGGGCAATCATTAATGTTCGACATTTTCTTGCAACTACTTGAGTGTTTTTAAACAACAAAAAACACGTTCATGCTTATCTACATCTCGCTGCACTTGTAATCTTATTAAAACTTGAAAAATCAGAAAGGAATTCAGCCAACAGTCAAATATTTTAATAACTTTAATTATCGTAATAGTTTCAAGGTCATTATAAAAATTTTATGAAATAAATTGATCTTAATGTAGCATCCTAAATACTCAATTTTATTAAAGCCTTCAACTAATATTATTATTTAAGCATAAAATTTCACATCGTTTCAAAATGTTCATTAAGAATTTGCATATAAATATAATTAAGTTCAGGAATTATCAATGCTTTTAAATATGAAATGTTATTAAATTGTTACAGTTATAACGCCCGCTGCTTTCGGCCAATTGTCTTGCAAATTATTCACACATTAATTGATTGTGTAGTTCGAACAAGTTGCTAAATGAATTTTAATGATTCATACTTGAAATGTTTTAAGTGTTTACGAGCTTTTGTTAAAACAAATGTAAATTTAACGACTTTAAATTGATTCGTGAACGAAGCGATTATTTTATGGATTCGCATTGCATTTATTCATTCAAGTGTAAGTTTCAAATTTTCGCAACATTCGGCAGTAATTTTATCTGGTTATACGAAACCACAAATTACAACTCAAGGAGAAAAAAATTGGAAAAGATTTTTCAGGAGAAGATTAACCCGTTGTCGAATTTCCTGTTGATTGGTAATCATCAACCACTTCCGTTGTGCCAAAAACTCTCCTGAAGAATTCAATCTTACAAGAACTGTCAAAGTACGAGTTTGGTATTTGCGACGCAAAAAAAAATTCAACGCAACTGATAACAACACAAGTTGAAGCAAGGCTCGGAAATTAAATTAAAAAATCACATTTTTTAACAGAAGAAAAAAATCGATAAGGGCTACAAAATGACTTTGATAAAATAAAAAGAACTATGAGAAATGACATGATTTCAACAAACAAAAAACAATGGCTAGTCACTTAGTTTCTCGCTTTATCAAACACAAGCGCGTTGTACACAAACTCATTTTACAAAATTCTGAGAAAAAAATTATATGGTTTGATATAAATATAAAAACAATTGTGTCGTCGTTAAGATATGATATCTTAGCCTCAAACAAAACGAGTGATTTGTCACAGATATCATACGACAGACGATGTAAAAGAAGAAAACGACATGAAGCGAGAATGCTTGGCGATAGAAGAAGTTTTCTTATTATTGTCACTGAAAACGTGTTCATATCTCCTCAAATTAATAAAACTTGTTGAAAAGTTTCAACGATCTAACGAAGATGCGTTCTTTTAAATCAAGTTTTCTTCTTATGGTCTATTAAACAATTTACTTTTAATTATTCTAAAGATATGAATGACATCAAGTTTATTTATCATTAAAGCAATTATTATTGCTCACAATGTTTTCTGTTGATTAAATTTTTAACTTTTTTTTGTTAGATTGCGTGTAATTGAACAGACTTTTTGACTGTAGTTCAAATTCCAGAATTTTATCAAAGTTTTTAAGTCAAAAGTACTTTAGATTTGTTTTTGAATTGATTCATCAATGAAGAATGAGATGCAATATTTTAACTAATTTTATTTCTTTCTAAGCACGACCACAGGGATTATTCACTTAATAGGATGTCTAGCATTTAATTTAAATAAATTAAAGTCAAAGTTTTAGGGCGTTGAATAAGAAATAGAGACGTTTAGTATGTGCACGTTGTGACAACGATAGCCAGCGGAGAACGACAAACAAACAACTGATAAAAATAATAATAATAAAAGAAGAAAACATGAATTCGAGACGATAGAACATTTTGTTAATTCTCTTTTCGTTTTCTGTAATTTGAATTTCCATCACTTCATTGTTGATAAACTTGTAATTCATTCAGAGTCGAATATTTTGTTCTTTCTTGTGGTTTTGGCTTCTTCTTTTCTCTATGGAAATTATTGTGTCTTACGTTGTTTGCTGCTATGCTACCTACTAGACGTTTACCATTTTCAATGAATTATTATTTATTTTGAATGAACTTTTTTTATAGCTTTTCGCCGTAACGAAAACATTTTTTTTAACTTTGTTACTACATTTTCTTAGAACATGCTTTGACACGCATTCAATGAATGTTACATCGCCATCGTGAGAAATTAATGTTCTGTTTACTCCACTTTTCTCGGAATACATCCAGTTTCTCATAAATATTTCAAAATAATGAATAAAAGGATTTTAAGAGACAAAAGTCCTCCCGAAAACGTGTCTTGCATAACTTAGGTTGATAAATATTTTTAAATGACTGACAAGTCAGTTAATGTTGTCAAATAAATTGTCAAGATTTGAATTGAAAGAAAATAAAAAATTAATTCAGATTTCAGGATGAAAAAAACATTTAGAAGTTGTTTGATATCCAATATTATTTATTCAGGAAAGATTTCATTCGATTCATGATTATTCTGCGACTTTTGAAACCTTTTTCAAGCTTTAAAAATATTAAAATTCATAAACTATGAGCCATTTAAAATTCGAAATGATTTTTTTTATAAAGTTTGAACTTCAGTAAGTTTCTTTAGAAGAAAATTAAAATTTCGTTCGGATTCTGATTGAAATGGAAAGGAAACCGTGCGATGTAAATATTAATGTTGTGATATCTTTGGTCATCAAGTCAACACACGCTCATAAATTCACTCGCGACTTAAATCGACAATCAACCAGTCTGAGTTTCATTCATGAAATGTCTCGAGTAATGTAAATGCAATTCAAATGAAGATTTTTTGTTTTTCATTCAAAATTCGCTTTACGATTTGAATGGAATATTAAAGGGGGGAAAAAATCAATATTTTAAATCTGACAACGTTCTAGAAGATTCTTAAGATTTGCTTGCATCGCATGTACATTTAATAAATAATTTTGACGTTTTCTTATTCGTTTTCGAATGAAAATAAATTCAAAGTTTCATTTCTCACCTCAACATAAGTCAGAAACTTGACCGATTTCTTCTTTTTGCCCTTGCCACAGTTGTTGATGATAGGTGTAAGTAGTGGAAAAACACCGGGTTGTGTTTGCACAAATCCATTATTTTGATTATTCATCAACTGACTTGCCATCTGAAGTTCGTATGCAGTTGGTTTTGTATCATAAAATGTTTGTTCTTGTAGCGCAATGTCCGCTAAATTTGCCTCATAGGTTTCCAATTCCATGTCAGATTTACAAAAAAATGATGTCAATGGCTTCGGTAGCGCTTAATCCTAACAAAATTCTTGAAATTTGTTCACCTATTTTCTCACAATCCAATGTCTGGGTCTGAAAACAAAAATAAAAATAATAATTCACAATTAGTTACTGTTTATGATGACTAATTAATGAGTTTATATTCAAAATATTATAAAAATTGATACCACGTGGTCTAATCATGAGGTCGTGAGCATGAAAAAAAGATTCGTGAATAAAATTTTTGCTGATGTAATAAATTCGAAATATTTTCTCAACATATTTAACTTTTAGTAATGAAAGCGTTAAGACTTGTGAATACTTTTCTTAATAAAAAAGTTTGGAATATTGTAGTTCTTGCTTTAATATTCTCTTTTATTTATGTAATAATAATTCGCGAAAAAGTGGAGCATGAAAACTTCAATAATTTTAAGAAATTCCATTATGATTTATATGGTGTAGGAGAATGTAAGAAATATCCTATGGAGTTGGTGTATGATAGAAAAGATTGGCACGATTATGAATTTATGAAAAAGGAAGCTCAAAGAACAGGTCTCGGTGAACAAGGTGCGCCTGTTGTCTTAACTGACCCAAAGGATATTGAAAAGAACAAGCAATTGAAGAAGCAAGAAGGCTTCAGTGCATTAATAAGTGATATGATTGCATTGAATCGCTCGGTTCCTGATACGAGACCAAAATCCTGTATGATGAAAAAATATTTAAAGAGACTTCCAACTGCATCCGTCATCATTATTTTTTATAACGAATATCCAAGCATTGTGTTACGTACAGTTTATTCAGTTTATAACCGATCACCTCGAGAACTTTTAAAGGAAATTATTTTGGTTGACGACAGCAGCACAAGACCAGAACTCAAAGAAGATTTTGAAAATCACTTAAGGGAAAATTTTGATGATCGTGTTAAGCTTGTTCGGCTTGAAGGACGTAAAGGATTAATAGTTACACGTATGGAAGGAGTCAAACGTG